AGGAAGTCGGAGGAGTAGATCTCGGGGTTGAAGAAGATCTCAGGCGCGAGGAAACGTTCGTAGCCAACATCGACGGACGTAGTCTTGCCGTTGGGATAGTTGACGGTGTGCTTCTTGAATCGGTCGTCTGACTCGCGGTCGAAGCGTGCGAACTCCTTGACAATGTCAGGGCATACGTAGCAGTATTCTTCCTTGATGCGCTCGGCAGTCTGGAGGGAGGAGTCGGGTTCGCCGCGTTCTCGGAGGAGCGATTGTACGAAGTTGGTGATGTCGCGACCGGCGATGGGGACACTCTTGATTGAGGAACCGATGACGTAGCCTTCAGCAACGGGGATAACGTGCGTGACACCAGCTCCGGAGTCGATGACAGTTCCGGTGAGGGATCGGTCCTGCACCTTGGAGCTAGTCCATGACGCGGCCAGGGCGAGCACAGCTTGTACGGCAATGTAGAGACCGGCGACGTTGAACGACTCGAACATAATTTCGGCGGTGGCTTCGCGGTTCTCGGGAGGGTTCAGTGGCTATGGCTTGTCAGCTCCATCCTCCAGCGATTGTAGAGAGATAGCGTACGGGCTCGGTGAGGAGGAAGTGGTGGTCCTCAGGCTCCACTCTCAGGTACTTGAATATCGAGTTGGACCAGAAGCGTTCCATAAGATCCTGCATGCCATTAGTACACCCTACCCTCTATCTGCATGCCTCTCCATACCCAGTTGTCTATCTGACCATGCCTGATCGGGTAGTTGATGCCATAGCCCGCGCCTCCAGCTGCGGCCAGAGCTTCGTCGCCGATGAAGAAGTCGAGGTCCTCAGTACCGCGCTTTCCAGACAGATGCCCACCCGGCCCAGCTCCACCAGTCAGGAATGAGGGCTTGTTCGCAACGGCTGGGCGTCCAGAGCCTGATCCGCCGCTACCGCCTGTTGGGCCTTTGGTAGCTATCGCAGTGGGGAAGACGAAGGAGGGAGAGTCGTTGCCGGCGAAGCCTGGTGGATTGTTATTAGAGGCCAACTCCAAGAATTGAATTGGTCAGCATACCAAGCTTCGAGTATCCCGTACCGCTATAGCCAGTGTCAGTACTCGATCGCAACGTGGGTGCCCATGGCCAGCGGGTAGCTTACTTGTCCATGACAACGGCGGGGGTTTGAGACGCCATCTTTGCTGCTGCTTGGCACAAAAACGAATATGCAACGCAGCTCAGGTGGTACCTGGTATAAGAGCAGAAGCGCGTGGGCTGGGTGTCGAGGTGGCTTCGTCAAAGAGGTGACGACGGCGGTCGGTGCACGTTGTCGAATCAGGCACCGCCCCGCTCCGCCCTTGGCAGCGGAGTGAGACGAAATAGTGGGGAAGGACTTGCTCACTTCGTCAACACGATCGCTCCTACCTCCCTGATCTGCCTTGCCTACCGCTTCAATAAAGTCTGTGTCATACCGCAAAATACTGCAACCACATGGCTTAGGCTGATGCACAGAGGAAAGAGCCATCGCAAGCTCATTTTTGACATCGCTGCTAACCTCCTCTCCACTGACTGTGCACCTACAGCGCTCATCGAGCATCTCTCCCACTCTCATTACTCACCCCGCCGCCACAGGTCCCCATCGCCTTTACATCGGCTCATCCTCTCCATTAATCTCTCATTGTTCCCCTCCCTCAGTCACCTCGTCTGTCCTGGAATTACCTATCTTCTCTCCCGAACCTACACCTGCCCGTGTCTCGAATGACCGCTTAACGACCGTTTCCACAGTCAACCTCACAGCCGTCTGCCGCTATCGCCCACTTTGAAGCGACACCGGACTATCCCGATAATCGGCCAAACATTCCCGCCCCGGCAACAAACGCCCGTCGCGTCTGTACAGATCCAGAACTGCAACCAAGCCTCATCTGAGAACCGTCATCTCTCACTGCATTGCACTGGATACGTTCGGCCTGCGCTTCCGCGACCTTTGTCGACGCTTTTCCACTCACAAAGGCATGTCGGTCCCTAGCCGTCACTATGCACCCATAGACGGAGCTTATCATATTGATACGCACACACGCAAAGCCTCGCGTAGTCCGCCAAACGATGATGTATGCTGCATATATGTTCATGCTGGCGCCGGCTACCATAGTCACCAGAACGAGAGGATACATCTGGAAGCGTGTAACGAGTGAGTTTTCTGGTGTCTTCTCTAGGATGTCCCGCCTACGCTCATGCTAATATATGCAGTGCCGCGCAGCTGGCCATGTTGATTCTGAAGAACGGCGGCTCTGCGCTAGATGCTGTCGAGGCTGCAATCAAGACATTGGAAGATCGAGAAATCACCAATGCTGGCTATGGAAGCAACCTCGCAATGGACGGTGTGGTTGAGTGCGATGCCTCCGTGGTCGACCATTACGGGCGTAGCGGAGCTGTCGGGGCTGTCGCTCGTAAGTCTAGCAACTAAAGGCTATGGTCCAGTACTGACAATGATTACAGAAATCAAAAACCCTATTTCGCTAGCACGAATGGTGCACGACCACACGATGAGTCCACTTACGCTGCGTCGAGTCCCTCCAAACCTCTTGGTGTCGCAGGGTGCAACCGACTTTGCTGTGGAGATGGGTATGCCGATTTTGCCCCACGACGCACTCATTTCTCCCGCCGCGAAAGAGCGCTGGATGCGGTGGCGTTCCGACTTGAGGTCTGCCGAGCGCAAGTCCAGGAAGAGCGGCGCCCACCCGTCCTGTTGGAAGATCAGGGACAATGTGGCGCCAGCGGATGAGCGAGCGCACGAACGCGTGCGCGAACAACACACCCAAAACCTGCTACGCACCCACAAATCCCTACTGCAGTCACAGTCACCTCCGCTTTCCGACGATGTGATGTACGACCAAGCTGAGAATGCATCTTCCGACCCTTCAGTTCCTCCTTCCGAACAGTCGTCGAGCTCTTGGATAAGCGATGAGCAGACCAGTGCACCCGAACTGATCGATCAAGCCCCATCTCCTGCTGACGTACGCCCACCTACTGTTGCAGATGCTTCTCGCAATGCCTTTGTCAACAGTACGCAACAGATCCCTACCCTGAAAGAGTATCGTCGCGATGCAGGCTACGAGAGCATTATGGAAGATGCGCAGATGGAGGACATGACCTACGCACCAAAGCCACGCAAAGCATGGGCTGATGGGTCTGGAGAAGACTTTGACTCTGATTCGAGCGCGCAGACAGCAAAAGGCAATCCCGTGGAGAGCTCTCAGTGTGATGGTATCGACACTGGTCTGCCACTGACTCACGACGAGAACTCAGCCAACTCGAGGTTCGCTACCACATCGACACCTCTGAATAACGCCAAAGAGACCGCGCGACTACCGCCGAAGCCATCTAATACGAGCCGCCATGATCTCGAGGAAGACCACATCACCGACACCGTTGGGGCTATCGCAATAGACAGCTGGGGCAACATTGCTTGCGGTGCATCTTCTGGTGGCATTGGCATGAAGTACCGCGGGCGTGTGGGCCCAGCAGCTCTCGTCGGCGTTGGTGCGGCAGTCATTCCCGTGGACCCCGACGACCCCGAGCAGACCTCTGTCGCGACTGTCACAAGCGGGACCGGTGAGCACATGGCAACCACCATGGCCGCTACGGTATGCGCCGAGCGTCTCTATCAGAGCGTGAAGAAGAGCCGTGGTGGTGACTATGTCGAAGTTACCGAGGACGAAGCTCTCAAGGCAATGATCGAGAACGAGTTCATGGGTACACAGTCCTTGTCGCTTTCATGTGCGATATGCTAACTCCATGCCAGGTCACCCAAGTGTCAAGCACAGCAACTCCGCAGGCGCCATCGGCATCCTTGGCGTCAAGAAGATGCGCTCCGGCATGCTGCTCTACTACGGACATAATACCGACTCGTTCGCGATGGCATCCATGTCATCCGAAGACGACCGACCCGCCTGCTCAATGTCGCGCAGTAACGGCAACGGTCAGATTGCGCAGGGTGGAAGGATGATGCCCATGAGGCGCAACAAGAAGACAAGGTCTACCCCTCGCCGATGATCGTGGCCATACGCGGATACCTGAGCTGCTGCCCTAAGAACCTATATCTCTTAACGCATTGAGCCTCAACCCGGATATTAGCCGATGAGCGTTTGTCACTGCCTATACTCCTGTTCTCCTTCCATTCGTGTAAAAGCATTTGCATCTATGGTAGTTTTATACCCCTGCATGGCGGCTGTGTTTCCTGTCCTTTCTAGCATAGTGAGTGGCGTCTCAAGAAGGGTCAGATTTGTATCATTAGCCCAAAAAAGTCATTTCTTGTTCGTATGCCGAAGAAGACGTGCGTCATGCGATGTAAACCCTCACTCCAAGATTGTCTTTCAACATCAGACGGCATGCATATTTGCGAAGCCGCGTGTCGTCGCTAAGAGATCACGGTCTCTCAGCTTTGGACACAGGGCAGGTGCGTAATAAAGTGTTAATCTTTTTCTTGGCAAGACAAAGTGGCTAACGATGGAGAGGGTTATTTTGGTTGCGTCCTCGCGACAAACCCGACTTCCAAGACGACACCAAAGACGAAATGCAGGGACGCGAATGAACAAATAAGCTGATGCACAAACATGCAGTGAGTCATCTACAACTGTAGTGATCCAAACGACGGCCAATCGCAGCAGCTTACTTTGAGAAACATTATGAGGGTCGTACCAAAGTTCCACGTCCTGAGTGTCCAAACCATTGGAACGCAGGATGTACGTCGCCTCAAGCAGAAGTCTGACTCACAAGAACGTGGCGAATATTCTGAAGTTACGAGTCCCTCCAGATTGACCATCGACTTGATGCATTTCCAGCTTGCTCTCAGCGGTATTGGTGATGCAATACTGTGAGTCACGACGCGCGTAACCAATCACTGATCGGCGAGGGTCAATGAGGGTCCGCGAGTGCCAACGTCTGCTACCCTGTCCCAAAACGCGAGTGCAGTCACACTCAACCGGCTTCGTGATGCAGCATACTATATAACCCTCTGATCTCGTACCGATACTTCCTTCTCCAACGATGGCGTCCAAGAAGTTCGCCCATTGGAACGGCTTCCCCTTCATGACCGCCCCGCGAACGAAATACTACTCTGGCCAGACGCAATCCCCGCTCTTCCGACTATCCCGCGAGATTCGGGATATCATCTATGAATACTACGCACTAGGAGAAGGCGACAATGGCTACCATTACGACAGTGAAACCGGGAAGATGCTCGAGCATTCGCCATCTTCAGAGCCTAAGCGCGTTGTTCGCCTTGGTCTTATGATTACATGTCGCATTGCTGCTGAGGAGCTCAAGAACTGCGCTTTCCGTAAGGTGCAGTTTAGCCCTCATCTTTCGCAGGACGACGGACAGGCGTTTTTGGGACTTGCTTCGAGGGCTGGGCGGTTTCAGTGCTGTAAGTGCTCCATTTATACTCGAGCCTAGAGTGTTTCCCTTTTCACTAACACGGAATATCATAGTGTTGAGATTAATAGACCGTCAAAAGCAACGGATGTTAATCACGGTATGCGAACTGCTAGAGCCTGAAGACTGGCTTGATCTGCATCACCGGTTCCCATCAATTCAAGTGTTGCGTCCGACACAGATGAACAACGGCCTACATCTGGCTCCACTAGACTTCAGCGACGCTCTTCAACATATCCTCATTCTGGCAAAAACCCGCGATCCGCCCAAATTCGCGGAGCTGGCCTGTAGTGTGTTTGGTTTGGGCAGGTGCCCACTGGCTCCTTGGAACATCTCTGACCCCCACAACAACTACTTTGATGAAGGCGCATTGTACAGCGTCTTTTCCTGGCATCCCAACTCGTGGATGTTACCAAGCAACGAAGATCTGGCTAAGCTAGAGGCTCTTATCTGTTTACCTGTCGACTCAGACTTTCGTCACCCGATGGCGGAGGATGGGACCTTCTACTTTGAAGACATATCAGACCACGTCCGGGCCTCTGGATGCACTCTCTGGTACTTCTCGGCGGCATCTATTGCGATCGACTTCTGTGAGTAATCCTTCAAACCCTCCCAACACTCATCCCCATTATGACTCTCTTCATCATAGTATAACTTCCCACTAACAAGCTCAGTGAAAAAAACACCTGAACAGCAGAGACACAATATGCGTACGATCATCCTCAACGAATCCACAGACACCGTCTCCCATTCTGCACACCATGCGCGTGGATTCATACCCTTCTGTCGAGAAAATCCCCAACTTCGCATAGAAAGACGAATCAGACTTTGCGCGCTCGAGTTCACCAGAGAAATTTCAGGGCCAGGCCATTGGGTCATGGAATACAGTTTTCGAGAAATGATGCCCTGGATTGAAGCGGCTTTGGAATTACCCGCGCTTGGGATGTCTGCTTCCTCCTTCAGTCTGGTGATTGAAGGTGGACACGATGCTTGGACTTTCTTCAAATACGCGGCGGCTTTACATGAGGCGACCCTGGAGTACCATCGACGGAACGGGTATGAGATACCAACTCGATCCGATGACCCTCAGTCGATACCTTACAGGCATTGGTGGGACTTTCCACAACATTTCTCAAAGACTGTACGAGATATCACGGAAGGCACATCCTGTATCAAATTCGATGGGGACGCGGGCGACCCTTGGGACACTGACCTGTTCTTCTATGAGCGCAATAACTGGACCGATCCGCAGTGGTTAGCTGATTGGAATAACAACGTCTTCTATCCCAGTATGTCTTTAGACATCTGTAGGGTTACACGCAACATTTTTCACAGGGCAAGCAAAATAACGATACATCGAACGGTCGGGACTGTGGAGAGAGGCTTATCGACCACGCAGTCGTGTGAGGAATGGTGGACGGGCTGCGTTGAAGATTGAGATGATGACTGCCATACGACTCCCGTGAGTATTGTAGCATACTCGCAAAGCAAACAGTATTGTCTCATCATTCTCTTCTCCATGTTCCAGTAATCCGAAAAGTAGGTACCATGATAGTTCTTATAGGCAGCTCGATACCAAATCTATATCCCTTTAATACCCAATTTCCTCAAGTATTTTTAAATGCCTGCAATATCGTCAGAGATCTTCATTGTAAGATCAAGATCGGATGTGCTAATGTGAACGCGCTCACTTCTACAGGAGCGGATTATTCGCCATAGCTCGATGTTGAAGTGATCTTAGACATTCTCTTCGGTTTCAATCCCTGAAACCCTCGAAAGAATATATACACTGCTACATACTTTGAAACGACGTGTTTAGTAACTACACCTGCATTGCGATTATACGCTGTGTTACTTAACTGTGTCGTGCTCGCATTTCTGCAAAAGCACATTTAATAAAAAGACAGCTACTGCGTCTTTTGTCTCCTGCACTCGTCTCATCATGAGCTTCGAGCGAGGGCGTGTATCATCAAAGCTATGGCAACCATACCGTATACCAAAGTACAATCTCAATAACTAGTCCGACCCAAACCAGACCGCAGTCTGAGTCAAAGGCGTACTCTATTCGTTCTGAGGGCGTATATTGTAGTCAAATCAAGACTCAGTTCAGACAGGATACTCTTGCGCATCGCATTTGACAGCTTGTCACAGTGACGCCGATAGCCGTATCTAGGTCATCGACTTACCAACCCACCAACGTACACACCCAAAGTTCCTCGCGAAAAGACTTCAAATTCGAGCGCGAGTCCACAAGCCGTATCTAGGCGCGTCCAGTCGTTGATGGTGAGAGACTAGAATTTCTTGTCGCGCGTCATCGGGGATAAAGGCGGCGAGATTGGCTTAGCGCCACTACGCTAACGATCAGTCCCGCCTCCACCCACTTGCACCCTTCTCCTCTGCAGCCACACATGCGTTTGGGTTGTAACAGTCCCTACATCGCGCGACAATCTCGGTCACTTCGGACGAACGCATAAGATTGAGCAGTGGACGGTTCTCAGAGCAGCGCTGGGGAGGCATGAGTCATCGTCAGAGTCACAGCGAGGAGTACGGGCGGCTCTCGCTTAGCCAATCAGCGGTACCTTCTCGCACGCGCGAACCATGGTCCTTTACAGTGTCCCAGTCTTTGGGATTCCGAGTGCAGTCATGCACAACCTCTTCCTGGACGGACGCTTCTTAAAGCTTCCACATATATACCTCATTTCTCCCTCTTGTCTCTCATGTTCCTTCCGCCAATGGCGTCCAAGAAATTCGCCCACTGGAACGGGTTTCCGTTCATGACTGCGCCGAGGACAAATTATTACTCCGCACAGTTGCAATCACCTCTCTTTCGCCTGCCTCGAGAAGTCCGAGATGCTATTTACGAACAATATGTACTCGGTGAAGACGGTTACCATTACGATAGCGAGACTGGCAAGATGCTCTACACGGTCGAGCCAAGACAAACGGTCCGTCTGGGTCTCATCATCACCTGTCGAATTGCGCACGAAGAGCTCAAGAATATGGTCTTCCGGAAACTGCATTTCAGTGCGCATTTGTCTCATAACGACGGGCGTTCTTACAGGGGGCTAAGTTCTCGAGCAGGCCGTTTCCAACGCAGTAAGTATCCGCGCGGTTATAGCATCAAATGATCTCCCAACTAACGCGTCATTACTATAGTGCTTCGATACGTGGAGCGTCAAAAGCGGAGAATTTTGATCACCGTCTTCGAACTGCTACAGCCCGAAGATTTCCTCGATCTATATACTCGCTTCCCTTCGGTCAAAGGATGGTTTAACGAACCGTTGCGCCAATCAGGTAGGTCTTGGAAGTTCCTAATCTCATGGTACGCGTGCTAATCTCGCATCTCCCAATCTGCAGCGACACAACAAAGAGACGAACTCGCAGGCTCGGAGCAACGTGCAACACAGGCGTTCAGCGACGCTCTTCAGCACGCTTTGGTATTGGCCAAGAATCGTAACCCCCCCGAGTTCGCAAGACTCGCATCCAAAACGTTCGGCGCACGTCTGTGCCCCGTTCCTATCGCGCGATCCTTTCCGGAGTTCAACTACTTCGTGAACGGTGCGTTGCTCGACATTTTTTCCTGGAGTCCTAAGCCGTGGCATCTTCCAAGCGATGTTGAGCTGGCTAGGCTAGAGTCTGTTATGTGCATGCCTGGGGATGACAACGACAGCTTACCGACGATGGAGAATGGATTCTCATATTACCTAGACTCAACCACTCATCTTGAACTAGCGACAGAGCGATGGTGCTTTTCTGCAACATCAATCGCCATCGACTTCCGTAGGTACGAATCCTCCAAACATCACGTTTGATATATAGACGCACTATTCTAGTATGAGTCTTCGCTAACAACCCCAGTACGGGAAATGCCTCAGCAGAGAAGACAGAATCTACGCCTGCTCAAACTTAATGAAAGTTCCAAAGCTGTTTCGCGTCCTGCCAGCCACGCTTGCGGCCTAATACCTTTCTGTCTCGAGAATCCAAAGCTCCGCGTGCAAAGACGCATCAGCCTGTTCACCAATCTTCTGCCCGATGGTTTCAGCTCGTCCCTGGTTTGGCATGAGGGTGTCACGTCGCTCTTGGTATCAGAGTGTATCCGAGTGATCATGCCCTGGATTGAAGCAGCCCTGGATTTGGCCAAGCTTGGGATGCCTGCGGACTCTTTCCAGCTAGTCATTGATGGAACGACGAGAGAAGCTTGTGAGCTTTGGAAAGTATTAAAACACGCGGCAGCCCTACAAGAAGCTCTACTCGAGTACCTTCGACTGAAAGGAACCCGTCCAGGTGCTAGGCCCCTAGATCCCCACTACACGGATTGTTGGAGCTTTCCGGATTACTTTCCAAAAGTCATACGAGACATCGTAGAAGGCACGTCAGTCATCATGTTCGATGGACCTGTGGGTGAGTTGTGGGATCCTGAGGTGGTCTTCTCTATACGGAAGAATTGGACTTATGAGCAGTGGGATCAAGACTGGCAAGACCATGTCTTTTTCTACGAGATTCCTACGAACTTTTACAGAGATGCAGAAGATCGCTACAAAGTGAGGCCGCAATTGTCTGCGTCAGGACGACGGATGGCCCTAGCTGGCCTACGTAGCTCAAACAACACTCAGTCGAGCGCATGAGGGGTGTATCGACCTTGTAGCACCTGGCGCCGAAAGCCGACATACTTCGCTCCATATTCAGCAGCATACCAGCAATCTATGCAGCCAGATCTAGGATATAATATCTATCCCATTCTACCTGCCATCGTATCCCTTAACCCCCTTGACCCCACTCCCCTCCACCTTCCCACTCGCAACCCCCAAACTCCTCTCAAACGCCCCCGTAATCCCCATCTGATCCGTCAACACACTTACCATATCAAACCCTCTCTCCACATATCCCCTCGCATCCTCGCCCGAGTTACAATACATAGCCACCTTCTTCCCCTCCGCATGCGCCGCCTCCTTGATCGTCTCAATCGCCTCCTCCAACTCCTTATCCATAGTCGGAGTCAAAATAGGATGACCAATGTTGTTACCAAGATCAAAGGGCCCGATCAGCAAACAGTCGACACCGGGCAAAGCGGCGATTTCACGGCAGCAGGCCAGCGCCGACGCTGTTTCTATCTGCACAATGGTGAGGAGCGAAGTATTTGCGTGGCGCAGGTAGTAAGTCAGTGGTTCATTTGAGAAACACTGTGTTGGTAGCGGTGAGCCGAAGCCGCGCGTTCCTTCTGGCGGGAATTTGGCGGAGGAAACGAGCTTTTTGGCGTCGTCGACGGTGTAGATGAGCGGGACTATGACGCCGTGGGCGCCACTGTCGAGGGCGCCTGGGGTGGTGTTAGATTTCCACTTGGAGACCTTGGGATGGAGGAGAAGGTGGCAAAGGGTAACTCACGTTTTACCATCCAGGGTTCGTTGGCGGCGATGCGGACGAGAGGGCTTACGCCCGCGTGGGCGATGGCGGTTACGGCTTCGTGCATTTGGCTGTCGTTGATGTTGCCGTGCTCCGTGTCGACGCATATCCAATCAACGCCTGAACGAGCAATTGCCCGCGCGTGGTTCGTGCCTGGAAGCATCTGTCACACCATCATCAGCCTTTACATCGAGTCAACTTCGCGTTGGGTGTTGTTTGCCTGCCATCCTCCGAAAGTCGGCCCTCCTTTCTGGAACGCCTTGTATACCCGGCTTGCTTCTTGCAGGGTGTTCATGTTGCGGGGATGAGATGCGAATTGCTTGTTTCCTGGGAAGAAAGAAATACGACTTGTGAAGACCGCGTGGGGTTTTGCTTGGTGGACGTTTAGTGTTGTGGCTCTTCGCAGGGCGTGCGGTATCGTCATGGCTTTTGTAGGTACGAGAGGGGTATTGCCGCGTGGAGAGGTTTACCCCACAATGGGACGCGCTAGGGGATGCGGGTTGATGGGGAACGGCAATACACCTTTGCTGTCTTTACACGTCACGATCGTGAGGATGATGTCTTTTAAAGAGATGCAGACGATAAATTGTAGCATAAACCTGGGCTTTTAAGCGTGTTGGCGTGAACATCCTTCATGAAGAGATGAGTCAAGGGCGTTCGAGTTGCGGAGGATACGACGCCCTGCCGGATTTTGTGGACCCATCCGTCTCGTGTCATCAACATCGACGCGGTATGGCCATCGCATCACTTATCCTCAACACACTCCGCGATGGCATTGCCAAAGCTTACCAACAGACACTAGAAAACGTCACGTAAAGTGTAACGAGATACGACCTCATTGTCTCAGGTAAGCAGGCAAGTTTCCCCATACCTACACTCAAAGACAACCCTGCTTACCTGGATAGATGTACAAGCACCGGCCGCAAATGCGATCCTGGTACAAATGACAGACTCGATTTTAGCCTTTCTGTCCGCTGGACGATTTCGCGCTGCGATGGGCTTGTTTCATAGAACTTCTAGTGAAGTCGGGTCCGATCAGAATTTTGATTACAGCTACAATCTTGTACAACACTCAGCCACGGCCCAAATTTTTGGGAACAGGACTCAGTCACACTTCGGAGGCTAGACATCGTACGTAAAGACAAAAGGTTTTCCCCCCGTAACTCTGAAGGTCGCGTTTCTCGCCACGACCTCCCCATTCACCTTGAAAGCCCCTCCAACATATCCGTCCTGCGACGACAGAGGTAGAACCACCGTGCCCGAAGTACAATTAGGACTCATCACTTCCAACCTAGTTATAACACGCCCTGTAGCATTCCAAGCGACAGAGATCTCACCACCCGGCACAGGGACTCTGCCCCTAGCCCACTTCAAGTCCAGCGTAACAGGAGCGACTCGCCATTCAGTGTACCCCGGAGCTACGGGCTTCACTCCCAAGACATGATCGCTGAGCTCCCCAGTGGGACCTGCAGCCCAACCGTGGCAGAGGCTAGTTCCCCTCCCAAGTGCAGGCGCACCGGCTGCGTCCAAGGTCTCCCAGAAGCATCCGGTGTAGTTTGCTCCTTGCGGGTCGGCCATTGGCGCCCAGAGGCTTTTGAGCAGATCCATGGTCGTCTCGCTGTCGTTGGTCTCGAATGCGGCACGAAGGTGGTAGGCGCTTGCGTAGGGGCTGATGTACTTTGAGAACCCGGCTGCGATAGTTCCGTTCGAGAAAGCGAGAGGACCGTTTGGTGTTGAAAGCTGACGGAGGGTGCTCAGAACGCGGGAGGGAGTGTGGTTGGATCTGGTCACACCAGCGAGAATGGCCAGGGCATTCGAGTCCTGTGCGAAGCTGTTGTCGATGGACTGGGAGAGGTAGTAGGCGTTGAGTTCATTAGACCAAAGGTTCTGGTCGATCGCGATGCGCAGAGCATCAAGGCGGGTAGTGTATGGCTCGGTGTCGATGCCACCGTCTGCAAGGAGCCTGATGCACTCCTGGAGTGCGTATGCGTAGACCATGTTGAACTTGGTAACAACACCCGCCTGCGATGGATCGTAATAGTTCCAGTCGCCGCCCAAGGCAGGGTTGGTGATGTTCAACAACCCGCTTTCGGGCAGGACTTGAGAGTGTGCCCAGTCCAACATGCGTACGGCTTTGGGTGCCCACGTCTTTGGCATATCGACGTCGCCGCTGCGCATGTAGAAGTTTGCAGCTGCGGTGAGGAGGTTGAAGGAGTAGCCAATCAGGCCAGTGACGTTGGCATCGACTGGAGATGCAAGTGGCTCTTGTTGGATCTTTGCCGTGGGTGCGAAGAATCCTGGGGTCAGTTGGAAGGAACCAAGAAGATCGAGCGTGCCTTTGATGTAACTGATGCCGTTGGTACTCGACAGCGAGGATACGAGCGCAATATCTAGATCGCCGGCATACGCAATGCGGTCGCGTTTCGAGCCGTCGACCGTTGTATCGTGCGGGTTTGTGCCCATTAGAAAGTCCGGCAAGAACGCCTCGTCCGTCAAAGAGGCTGAATAGATCGATTGGCCTGTTAGAGTCGTAGCAGACAAGTTGCGAAACACGGCAGAGTGGCCGAATGACGCGCCCAACCCAAAGGATCCGAAGAATGCCGAAGTCTGCGAGAATTCGAGAACGGGAACCTTATTGAAAGATACTGCGATGCCAGTCGTATCCACAGTAGCTTCCACTTTGTGCCAGATACCAAGGGTAATGTTTGCTGGCAATTCCGCGAATGCAAGGGGAGGAGAATCCTCAGTGGATCCGAAGTGTGCTGAGATCGATCCGTTGACAATATTGCAGAAGATGTAGATTCCGGAGTTGAGAGTGTCGGCCAGTACGGAGAAGCCGAATCCTTTAGTAATAGGCTCGACTTCGAATGCAAGCTGGTAGCTCATCAGTCCAGCAGCGGCGCCGCCTGACAGGACTTGAGGGGCTTGGCTCTCTACCAGAGAACCTTCGGAGGAGACCTGCCAGAACGCCGGAATGGAGTGCGCAGGAATGTCGTTTAATTGAACTGTCCGCGCTCCAACCTTCCAGATTCGATTGAGCTCCTCATCCGAGGTCTCAAAGTATCCCGGTAGTTGATCAAGGGGTATGTTCGGGATCGTGGGCCTCACACCGACGTTCTTCAAGACCAGTTCGCCTGTCGTCGAGAGGTTGAGCTTCTGGTATCTGAAGCCACCCTGGATGAGTCGATTGGTATGTATCATAGGCCCAGTGACATTGTACTGATTGACTCTGTAGGTGTCCATAGCTGCGGCCAAAGCGATTGGACCATCGCTCTGCAAAGTGAATCAGTATGAGTTTCAAGCACTTGCGGTGTAAGACTTACGGTGTAGAAACTGTCTAGTACTGCTCTAGTCTCGCTATACGTGATCTCTAGACCAGACGTATCGCCAGTGGCTGAAAGGACTTCGAAAGTGGGATGGCCTTCGACATTAGCACCGTAGTCGAGGATGACCACGCCAGGAGCCGTAGTGGTCCCTTTGAGGATGGTGGTGCCATTTGAACCGAATATCGCTGGCAGGCTGTCGTTTGCTCGGTGCACACGGTGCAGTGACTGGGATCTTGGTGTTGTTGCCGCTTCTGCAATGGTCAGGCAAGCCAGCAGGGCCAGTTGAGAGAAACCCATGATGTGATGGAAGTCCTCGTTAAGGACTGAACGAATGTAGTAAGAAAACGAATGGAGAGAAGATAGACTAATGCGACGAAAAGTAGAGCGGTTATCACATACCTATGTATATATTAGAGATCGTCAATCTCTTTCATCCTGTCCGAGATACGACTACCCACCAAGACCTTGGTGATGCAATTTCCGATATTATTATGGTAAAAGCTCCAGCTCGCCGTTCTCACCGCCGTGCTGCGCCGCCTGCGATCACCCAGAACCATCAGGACCGTCGGTTTTTTCCGTCCCGCTCGTATGTCGTACCAAGTGGGTCAAACCACTGTTACCGAATATCCCATCCCCATTGCACATACAAGGTTGCCCTCGCGAAAACACCCCGCAGGCTCGAGCGCGGAAGACAGAGAAGAAGATCTTCAGGTACAATTCACCTAACAAGCCGATGTAGGCAGGGCACTCCGCGAATCGCATCTCGGCAGCCGTTGGCCGCCCCGCAACGAGCGCCCGAGCTAATCGCTAAACGGCCCGTGCGCCACATGTACGAAATACGCCTGCACGTTTACTACAAGGAACCGTCTACAACGTGCATCCTTATGCATGGAAGCCAGGCCCCAGTATGAACCTAGGTGTCGGGAAGTGCGCGTTCACAATTGATGTGATGATGGCCAAGGCTACCGGGCTCCCTCGGCGATCGTTCGTGATGCGTATCTCGTAACGAGCCCCCAGTCTACGCGGATAGCTGGGTAGCAACAGCGTGCGTGCACTCCGCGTGTTGAAGACCATTCAATGCGCATCTCGGCAGCTTCAAAGCGATTCTTCATCATGCTACCCACCTCATTAACGGCATGACCGTCGCAACGCCCTCACGCCCACAAGCCCACCGTATGAGCGCCGCGAAGACATTGCGCTACTTTCGCGCAATTTACCTCGAGAAGAACTCTAGGATCCAGAGCAACATCGCATGTTAGCTGAGCGCATTGTGCGGGTTGAAAAGACGGAGGTTGAAGGGGAGGGGTGGTCGGGAGAGCAGGTGAGGCTTTGGAGCGGGACTGTGACGCCTGATGCATGTGAGGAGAGGAGGTTTGAAGTGGACTTCTTGTTTACGAGAGATGTTGGGAGGGGATGATCTAGGAACGACGGGACGAGAAGGAGTTGACTGTGGAGGAGCTATATATCGATGTGCCTGCGCAGCATGACATGAACAACTAACAAAACGCTTCAAGCCCGTCTACACAGACACGATCAGACCTGCCACACCATCCCCACCTCCCCCATCCCCTCCAACCACGCTCACTCGCAATCGCTTCCAGACTACTGTCAGTCCCGTCCGTTGCCAAGAAATGTTCTACAATTACGTGATATCCACTCCTTCCCCTTTCCAAACAAAAAAGCAAAACACATACGATCCCCATCTTTACCAGCAACGCCCATAGACGCCTGAACGTTGTAAACCCGGTCGCTCAAGCCACCTCTTAGTCGCCAAAGTGATGCTTTTAGTACAAAAAGATGAAGTGAACCAACAAATGAGAGAGAAAGAGAGAAGAGAGGACGGCTACATATCCGTGATCATAGCTTGGTCGTCTTGACGCTGGCCCTCGGCCACGATACCGAGGAGACGGGCGTAGGGGACTGTTATACGCTGGAGGTCGCGGTGTTTGCCTGTGTGGGAGATTAGCATACTGGATTCGTGATGTCGTAGAAGGGAGGGAGGACTTACCTAGAATCAACACGGCTTCCTTGAGCAACTCCTCCCTCTTCCAGCCACAAATCTCCTCAGGCTCTTTCATCGCTTCGTCTTGCTCGTCGGCACCTTCTTCTTCTTCAGATACGAGACTACCCATAAGACTGCGTAGTAGCTCTTCGATCTTGCCTTTGAGGCCTTCGGCACCGAGACGCTTGACGTACATGGTGAGGTAGATCTTGAACTCTTCTCTTGCACCCAGTGTACGGGCAGCAGCGACACGGTTCTCAAGATGAGCAACACTAGCCGAGCTCTCAAAGGTCTCGTAGCCTTCTGCAGAGACGAGGATCTTGATGAGGCGCTGGAGGTGGAAGGCGCGGCCTTGGAGGAGGGATTGGTTTGTTGTGTTGCGCTCGAGCGCGGGGATGATGCCTGCTGAGATGTTTTCCATGGAGACCTGGTCGTCTTTTTCTTTCGGCGCGGCGTTCTTGTCTTTTGAGGAGCGGATGTTGCCGACGGAGGAATCGGTCGAGTTCCAGTACTGACTTGTGACGCCCCACCAGGGTTCAGATATCCGTTGCCAGATGTACATGTCGGGGTTGTAGGCGTAACCCTCACCGTTGGACATGGCCACTGTTATCCGACCTGCTGAGTTGAGACGTGCGAAGACGATACCGGGGGACCGGGTGAGGTGGGGTCCTTGGGCGTAGGCTGCTACGTCGAGGATGGGCGCTAGGGAGATGGGTGGGTGGGGTGCAGACATTGTCTTGAGATTCCAGACGTAGCACATGCCGACTGCTGTTATGCACATTAGCCACCAGCCGCGGCAGTCCATGATCACTGGTTGAGCCTCTAAAACCATGGCGTTGAGCGTCCGTCGGCCGGCTGGCGTCCATGCGTATACTGATCCATCCTCACATGCTGCTGCGAATAAGTTTGTGTTGCCAGTCACCAGGAGTACGGCCTTTGGTAAGAAGTCTTGCCAAAGTGACTGTCCTTTGCTGGTGCATGTCAACCGCGTAGGGTCGTGATCTTGTGGCCGTCCCGTCCGCGATGGTCCGCTGGCATTGCGCGCTTCTAGAACAACCGTGTCTGGTATTTCCGCTTTGCCTGTGTTGGCATCGACGCCACTCTGCGGTGGCTCGCTGCCGTCCATAGTTCGCACGATGACGCTTCTCACTTTCGGTACGGCTAACCGCACTTGAGCGAGGGCCATGGAAGGGTTGACGATGGCCGGTCTTAGGACTTTTGGAGGCTCTGTCATTTCGTTGTTCTTAGCAGCTGCAGCAGCGGGAGGGACAAGACCATTTTCACTGTTTATAACGATTGCTGCGCCTCCAGGCTTCACCGAACCAGCCAGTCTTTTCTCCACTTGCCGGTCCTCATCGCCTTCGATCTCGGCAAATTTCCGCTTGTTCCCTATAAGCATGGATGCAAGTCCGCCTCTCGGGAAACCATCGTAGGGCTTTGAAAGGTCTAGAATGTTGTGGGGATTGTCACTCCTGCCGCCTGACGTTGTCGTCGCAGAAAGGAGCTGTGTTTGAGGTAACGAGGACTCGCCAACACCAGATGAAGATGACATGAGCATAGGTGCTATACGCTTCTTGCCATCCTTGGTGACAGTCACTCTTTGCTTGAGCTTCTCCACCCTCACATCTGGGGGTGGCTCAGCCGGGGCCTGTGGTGGTGCCGCGCCGCCCGATCCGTTGGTGAGGGTTGTCGAAGGAGTGACGCCGTTGGTGCCGTTCGTGATAGTCGGTGGTTGAACTGCACCTCCGTCGCCCATTAGTGCACCCATCCTGCCTTGAACGCCCTTCAGCTCCCCACTCTTACTGCTCTCTTCCAGAAGTAGCGCGTCTGTGCCCTCGATGATACCAACTCTTCTTCCGGCACCGAACTTAGCGAGTGTCTTTTCGTTTTCCGCAAATGTCGCTGGGTAGCCGAGTTCTCCGGGTTCGAAAACAAGAGTCATGATGCTGCCGTCCAAGCTCGTTGCGTATAGCGTCTCTCCGTTTGGCGACCATGCCAAGTCGGAGATGGATTTGCTAGCCAACTCTTGCGAGCACATGAATGGCCTGGGGAAGCTCGTATTCCACACACTCAGGCATTTGTCCTGGCCTGCGCAAGCGACAATAGTAACCGTCTGCTGGTTAATGGTTCCGTCTTTTTCTGGCCGTGGCTCATCCCGGTAAAACAGCCTTGGGGAGAACGAGGTTACTTCAACGGGCCCTTCGTGGCCGACCAGACTGATATCTCCATCCCAGGTTCCACGCGCAAGAATAGCGACGGAGCTGACTGGCCCATTTGTAGCGTTTGCAGCAGCGATATGTGCGCCGTCGGGTGACCACGAGCAGCGGCGGAAGTATGTGGTGAGTGGGGAGGTCTGAAAGGGTGCGGTTATGGTGTGGTCCAGGACGAAGTTGTTGACCTGGTCTTGCTGCGAGGCGTTCGGGGGCGGGGAGTTGAATCGGTAGACTTTGATAGTGCGGTCATCGCTAGCGGTAGCGAAATATTTGTTGGCGGGGTCAAATGTTATGCCCTTGACGTGACTCTGGTGGTTTGATAGCGTCTTCAGCTTCTCAAAGGAATGCCCAGACCAGACTACCACTTTCGAGTCCAACCCCACTGACACCAATATTGATGAGTCAAATGACCACCCCAGATCTTGTACGTCGTTGTCGTGCCCTATCAGGCGGCGAATGACGCGCCAATTCTCGACGGGCGGCGGTTCGTTCGATCCTGTAATGCTATCAGCCTACGTCCCTTGTACCTGCCTAACGTATACCCACCAAATGCTGTATGTGTTGGCGCATTCTTGTCGAGCGCATAGACGCATACTATCTTGTCGTCTGCGCCAGACGCCAGATATTTGCCGTTAGAAGAGAAGCGGACCGCATGGATGGTGCCGGAGTGGTTGCTGACAGCCGCGAGCTGCTTCGGCTTCGTATACGAGGGGTCGTTGGAATTTAGAATGGCCTCGGTAGACCAGACACGTACATAGCCGTCTACAGATGGTGTTAGCAATATTCTGGGGTGCAGCGCATCGCGTGGGCATCGAGGGTGGGTTGACGAACCTCCGGCGGCCGTGGCCAGGCGCGATCCATCAGGGGAAACGTGGCAGCTGTATACTTCAAAGTCTTTCTGTTCGCCTAGTAGGAATGCATGTCAGTAAGATGCTAGCAGAAAAGGGCATGCATGCGCGGGTGCACCCACCGGGATGAGTTAACCACTGTGGTTTAATGAGATGCATGGTCGCGTAGGTGTCGCTAGCAGTTGAATCATGCTATTGCGCGACCATGAAAGTAGTATGAGGAGTATTGGGTGCGGTGGTGGAGGGTTGGTGGTTGAGGCGCACGTTGTGGTGCAGCGCGACAGTTGTCTGGTGTTGGCGACGCGATCTCGCGGTTGACGCTACTTGGCAGACGTTTGGGCAGGGGTTTAAGGTTTAGGTGCATGCGCCGATCGCAAAGTGCATGCTAAACGAGCGGCTCATGGTAGAGGGAATCAAACATCAAGTGTATTTAGAGTATGGCATGTGCTTGTGGTAATACAGTGAACTTGGTGTTCCTTCACCTTGGTCTCTCTGATTCCCTGAGAGGCAGCCCTAGAGAAGTCTCAAATGCTACTTGCACTTCCCGCTCCGCCATTGGTTGCCCCTTCACAAAGACACCTAAAAACAGTACTAGACTAGCTACATGCAGCTCTTCCGTTATTAGATTCTTCATCCGGGTGGTCATTTGGACCCTTGTAGTGGATAGTCATGATATGCTGCTGCGTGCGCGTGCCCATCCTCACCGGCAAAACTCATTTGAAGTTGCCCCGGACTTATTGCGAAATTCCACTCTCGACTGTAGTCCAAGTTGGAGCTGAGGTAGGCGAGGTTCAGGAGGAGATCGGTGGCAGCGTGAGCGGTTGGTGCAGATGTTGTGGGTTGTGTCGCTAGTTGTGTCGTTCATTTCGCCTTCTTCCTCTTCTTAAACACCACAGCCGGAGCAGCTGGCGCGTCCTCTTCTGTCTTGACAATAGTCTCAGCAGCCTTCGCCTCCGCTTCCTCGGCGGTGGGTATATCCTGAAGGGTGTTCGTGCCGCTGTCATCTTCAACTTCGGCTTTCACTCCATCCTCTTGGTCTTCTTTCTTCACTTCAGCCTGTGGCTTCTTTTTCCCAAGCAAACTCTCGATATCGTCGTCGCCGCCCTTACTGCCTGGAAAACTCTTGTAGGTATGTCCCCAGCCCTTCCGTTTCGTGATCAGCTCACCAGCAGCCTCCCGCTCCTCTTCATCCTCGTCAAGTTGCCTCTTCCGCACGCCCTTGTTCAGCGACGTGGCCTTGAATTCTCCATCTTCTGTCACTTCTCCCACAACTTCCTCCTTGACCGTCTTCCATTCACCTGCTATCGCCATGTCGCCTCTTGCGGCCGCAGGAAGCGCCACGCCCATGGCTGCTAACTGCTCCCATTGTCGTTTCCTGTCATCTACTGTCGCCTTCTGTTGTGGTTTCTTCTCATATGTAGGTTTGCCGCCTACGCCGGTTGCGACGGAAGGTGTGGATGCGGATGGTACGAGGCCATTTAGACGTGCGACCTCTGCTTGTGCGCGCGCCTGGTTGCGCTTTTCGTTCTCTTGTTCGCGATGGAGCCCCTTGAGACTGCGCTGGATGTTGCCTTGGTGGCGGCCGGTCGCTTCGTGTTGCGCGCGTTCGAATTTGGTGTCCTTCACAAACGTGGAGCAGAACTTGCACCAGTATTTTGGCTGTAGCTTAGTTAGTGTATGACGCGCTTATCAGGCCTAGTCTTACTTACTGTTGACTTCCAGTACTCCGCCATGGTCGTGTGTCGTGGAGTGACGTGCAACCAGCGACAGTCGGGGAAAGCTTACCTGGCGCACGGTGCACCTCGGCGGTCCGCAACGCTAGAAAAGACGAGTTCGCATAGCGTGAACCACGGCTGCGGGTCTTTCACCGCTCTCCACCCCAAACCCTAATCGCTCTTCACATGTCTTCTAGCTTATTTCCTTCTTGGTCAAAGTTTTCGACTCGATTTTCCATATTCAGCAGGCCATGGCCCCGCCATCAGATCCTTGCACGTCGTTGCGATGACTAAGAAGAGTATAGATTTGCCCTAGGGACACCGGGTAGCAGCAGAAAGCAAGCCCTTATTATCATCACGCCCTTCCTACGTACTGACTGGTCGACTACACCAACATGGCTGAGCTAAAGGATGCCAGACGCCTTAGCGAAGCGCGTGAACACATTCTTCTGCCGCCTTAGCCGTCACTCTCTATCCTGTCTGATCGTATAGACAATGTCCCTCTGTGACACCCCGCAATTCCATGAAGCCTCAGATGGCTGTGTCACTGGCTTCAGCTGTCATACAACTTGTCAACTTTGCGAGGAAAGTGATCCAAAAGGACAAGGTGGGCAAGGTATCTAAATCCACCAGCACCACCCTAGGAGAGGCTACACTGCTCGATGACGCCATCGCTAATCTCGGCGACTTATCACAACAACTTGAGAAGGCACGACGCGCATACTACAAGTCACATATATCCCCTAATCAGGAAATTGCAGATGCGCAACTGGTTGCATTGGTGAAGGATGGTGGGGGAGTGGCGAGGATCTTACAGGCAACACTGGATCAAGCGAAGCGCGACGATGACGTCGACGAGGAGACGGTGCTTGCACAAGGATTACGCAGCATTCTGAGCTTGTACTACAGCCAGAAGACGATATGTGATCTTGCGGACAAACTTGACTCTATTCGCAAGCGAGTAGATGTCGCTCTGCTTGCCTCGCTCCGGTCAGTGAGATGTCACCAATGCGACCACACATTGACCCAGATTATAGACAGCATGCGGCTCAACAGCATTCAGTTCATTCGGAGAAAAGACGGCTTCCGGTGGACGGCGATACAGGACCTGATACACTCCTCCTCCAGTCTATCGCGCATCACGATTGGAAAACTACGGAGACGGTTGATGTCGCTGCATTTTCAGACACATTCGAGAACTCCGTCGTAAACAATGATATGGAACGCCGTTTCGCCAGCTTGATGTTGGCGCGCTTGCATTTCACTGGCATGCACGATCGGTACAAGACGATTCCTGTTGCGCACCCAGGAACCTCGCAATGGATATTCGATGCAAGTCCCGAACAGCCCAACATTGATGACTTCGACTCCTTTCCTCGGTGGCTCACAGCAACAGGGTGTAGCAATACATATTGGATACGTGGCAAACCGGGTACTGGGAAGAGTACGCTGATGAAATTTGTGTTCAGTCACCCTCGCACCGCCGCCCACCTACGCGCCTGGGCCAAAGGAAGGACACTTGTCAAAGCGAGCTTTTGGTTTTCTAGTCTGGGCAACGACATGCAAAAGTCGCGTATGGGGCTTTTACAAACCTTGCTCCACTCTGCGCTCAAAGGCGACACGGAGACGCTGATCCGAGTCTTTCATTGTCGCTGGCAAGAATTCCTTGCTTCTGGTGGAGGTAGACAACCTTTCACTTGGCTTGAGTTGCGTCAGGCCTTCATAACGATGATCTCTATACCTAGCAAACCAAGATCGTTCTTCTTCGCAATCGATGGCCTAGACGAACTCGACAGTGGCCTGAACGACGTTCTTCAATTGATCAAAGACATACCCAAATATTCGCACTCCAAGGTTTGTGTTGTCAGTCGATCTTCACCAGAGCTCCTTCGCGCATTTGCAGGCCAGCCTAATCTACGCCCTGAACGTTTGAATCGCCAGGATATCTTCAACTACGTCACGGCCTCCCTGGCAAGGTCGCAAGTATACGTCAAGCTCAGCAAAACGGATCCTGCTCGCGCTACTGAACTGGTCAAAGGTATAGCTAAGAAGGCAGCCGGCATTTTTCTCTGGGCATACATCGTGGCACAGTTGTTGCTTGATGATCTGTCGCCTACAGCCCGCATAGGCAGTCTCATTGCTCGGCTCGAGGCAATACCATCTGGACTAGAGCAACTATTCACCAAGCTTCTCGGACGTCTGGACACGGAGCATCTCAAGCACGCATCGGAACTCCTCCGTCTGATGACGATAAAACCACGACCCCTTCTGCTCGAGCTATGGTTTGCAGACGGCAAAACGACGACGCTGCATTGAGGAATATAGCCCGGCCGCTGTCACACAATGAGATACTCGAGCGTCTCGAAATGATGATTCGTCGACTGATTTCCCGATGCAGAGGCTTTCTAGAGACAGGGAGCCAAAGCGGAAGCCCAAGTTTTGAATTATCAAAGAGTAAGTGGAGATTCCATCACGGATCAGGTTATAGCTCACCACCTTTAGCATCTCACGTTACCTGGACACACCGCATTGCGAAAGACTTTGTCCGATCTCGACGAACATGGAACATCATACTTGACAATACCGGGCATGATGCTTTCGATCCTGAGTGGCACTGGGCCAACGGTCAACTAGGTCTATTCAAGACCGTTGCCGGGACCACCAGCACCAAGACCTCTCACTTCCTATCTTGCGTCGAGTACGCACTTCGACTAGAACAGCGGCTCAACATCTGCCCAGTCAAGTTCCTAGATGAAGTCGGCCGTACCGCAACGATATATGCGACTGTATACGACGACATCGTGCCTCGGAGACTCAAAGGCACTATCAACAGCTTTCTAGAGTTCGCTGTACTGTTCAATCTCGTAGGCTACCTTCGTGGCAGAGGCCTAACCCTATCGAAAGAGGAGTTATCACATGCTTCTCGCTTGTTAGGCGCGCTGGACGCAAAGAAGTGGGAAGTGTTTGTAAAGCGTTTTGACCACGCTGGGATCTGGAGTAAGGAGTTTGAAGAAAGAAAAAAGGATATGCATCGAGTTATGGATAGCTTGCTTGATCGTGGAGGCGGTGAGTCAAGATGGCAAAGAGCGAGGAAGAGACTATCTGGGCAGAAGAAGACGTGAGTCGTTATGTGTCGCGTTTGCATCAGCTTCTTGAAGACGATGGGGCAGATCCTGATGGGGCGAATATGTTACGTCATGACCATGGGCTGCTTCAACGACACATTGACGATATATCTATCCAAAAACACATTACCTTCCACATACGACCATAGGATCATGAAAATTAGGCTTCCCGTCCGCTCAGCCATATACAAGCATGATACCGGCGGATTAGTAGTCAGGTGGGTGACCACTAGCGAATCCCCGCTGTTGTATGTTTTTGACCTTTTTTGCTAGTTGGGCTATCTTTTTGCTACTCTGGCCATAAGTAGGGATGGTATCATCGCAGTGCATCCATACTGCACAAACTCCGCCCACCACAACCTTACAACACCTGCCACGGCATCAACATCCATCTTCCACCCACTCTGCCTCACTCCATCTTCGGCGCCCTCAAGTTCAAGTTCTCATACTCCGGCAACTCCCACCTCTTCTCCTTCCCCTCCGGCAGCCACCCCGCAAGCCACCCGAGCACCTTATCCACCCTCATCGTCGAAATCGACCAAAGCACCCATCCCACAGCCCAGACTCCCCATGCCGACTCCGGAAAGAACCTCCATTCCTCCACCAACGGCCCCAGTTCCTGACACTCCTCAATCGGCTGCTTCATCTCCTTCTGATACGTTTGCAGCGCCGCGTCGACATCACTGCCACACCGCGCCAGCTCGCCAGCGAGGACATACGCGCCAATGAGTGACAGTGTTGTGCCCATGCCTGTGAAGGCTGAGGGACAGTATCCCGCGTCTCCGAGTAAGACAACTCGATCTTTATACAATTGCCCGCTTGGCATCTTGACCTGACCGATTTCCGTAGCGTAGAAATCCTTCACATCCTCCAACCCCTTCAGGAACCGCGGACACTCCCACCCCGCATCACCATACTCCTCGCTCCAAACAGTCTTCTGCTCATCCAATGGCTTCTTATACGTACCCCTGATGCGACTCGCCCGCTCCTCACGGTTATTCAAGAGGAAGAGGTAGACTTGTGTGACGGGACGGTCGCCCGTGCGCGTCATGACCATGCGGTTCTGCGGACCGAAGTATATCCGCGCGAGGCTGTTTTCTGAGGGCAGGCGCGGGACGTTGTAGTACGCAGCGTGTATGTTGAGCGATTTGAAGGACGCGTCACTGGTGTCTTGACCAAATGCGAGACGCCGGGTCCGTGAAGATTGGCCGTCTGCGGCGATGACGAGGTCGAATGTCGATGTCGAACCCGAGGAGAAAGTCACTGTTGTTGTCTTTGTCGATGGATTTGGTGAGAGTGCAGTGATCGTCGTATCGAAGACATACTTCAAACTCCCACCATACCCTTGTTCGTCCAGTATTTCGCGCTCCTGCAGACTGATATCATAAACCAACCTCACAAAATCCCCCCTCATAAACTCAAACTCGTTCGTCAGCGTCCTTCCCGGATTCTCCCCCGCAGCCGTCACACCAAACTGCATCAAGCTCTTGCCGTTTCCATCTATGAATTCTAGGCCGCTTTCATGGACACAGTAGGGCCGGAGTGTTTCGAGAAGACCCAGTTTGGTCATGATGGGGATGCCGTGGGCTTTTAGGTCGATTTGCTGGCCCCCGGTGCGGAGGGAGGGGTAGCGTTCTAGGATTGTGATGGTGTGGAGGGGGTTGCTGCGTTGGAGGATGAGGGCGAGGAGGGGACCGCAGACGCCGGCGCCGGTTATGAGGATGTTTAGGGGGGGTGAGGTTGGCATTACTGTGGTGGTAGGACAGGGCTAGGAAATGGAGTTTGTAGGTATAGAAGAATAGGGAATGATGCTCGTAGGTATAGAAGAGCAGGCAGTATCCTGGAACACAACGATATAACTCAATGATAACCGGGTCTATCCTTCCGGACATCTTCATTCTTGTATTGACATTGCTACACAAAGCCGGCGCAGTACGATGCTCCTCCGACGGCATTCTCGCTCATTCAGGCGGAGACCGTGTTCTCCGAACTCTTCTCCGAACGCTGTTAATGCGGACATAAAAGGCGATAGCCGTTAGGGATCCAATGGCGGAGCAATTTGGACTGTTGCCTTGGCATCCTTGCTGACTCTGCTGCAGTCTGCGTCAGCGCGCATGAGTGTCTGTACGCCGTTTGTCGCTCAACGAAGAAGGATACGTGCCTTTTGAAGACTGTAGCCTAGATGACGTACTACGGTTCACATTGTAATGCTGTTGAAGGTCACGGGCGTTGTTGAACAAGAGTAGTTGATAGTTGACAGGATGAACGTCGTGATGATGCAGACTTCAGGGTCTGCGGGCGGATCACCTGTCGGCGCCAAGCAAAAGTGAAGCTCGTCGCTTCGCATCACGAACGCCAACCCACTCGCCTTCTGCGCTACATCGACACATAGGTCACCAAGCCCTGTACATATCAACTTACAGCCGGTTATCGCCGACGTCAGACTCTCGAAAAGTCAACAAGCCGCACACGGTCCACCAAATCTCGCAATGGCCATCCTAGGGACGGCCCTCAACGGCATCGGCGCGCTCTTCCTCACACATGCGTACGTGTACACGTAGCTCATATCTACATCTTCCCAGACAGAGGGTCAAATGAGCATCATCACACAATCCCTACTCCCAACTAACCCCCACCAGCGTCTACTCGACCCACGAACACACCGCAACCTTCGCATCCACGCCCCTCCCCCTCGACATCTCGCTCGAACTCCTCACCTCCATTCTTATCCTCTCCCTCGGCATCGTCATATCGTTTGCGCCACTAAAGCCAATACAATACGCACAATGGGCGGGCCAGATTTCGCGGGAAGGACGACACGGCGAGGGCTACTACACAAAAGAGGGCGAGGAGGTTCTGAGTGAGGGTGATCCGTATGCGTTTTTGGGTCTGGATGGCGGGATTGGTGGGAAGGGGGAGGGGAGGAAGGGGTTCTGGGATGTAAAGGGGAAGAGGAAAGAGTATGAGGAGTGGGTTAGGCAGGGTGGGAAACAGTAGATGGTTAAGCTCAGCGGGGGAGATTTGGGTTGAAGAAGTCCAGCGGATGGGCGTGGTACACTGGCAACGCGCACCGGTGGTGTGCGTGGGCATGCATATCGTCACGAAGCGTCTCATACCCGGTACGAAAGATGAATGTATGCGACCACCGTTATGCCTATCGTACATCGTCCGAAGGCCCAATCTCGATGCCCATACCCTGTGCCCCGAATGTCCAAAAACCCAGACGCCATGCTTGAACGAGCAAAACCAGCAATCCCAATCAATCTGTTCCCATAACCCTTTTCCTCTCCAATCCTTTCCTCACGCTTCGCTCGTCAACTTTTCAACCTGATTCCCTCCACAACCATTCACCCTACAAGCCCAGCACTCCTTTCCCTCCATCTCCTCACCAAGAGCCGCAACGTCCGCACTCTTCCTCCTCGGCCCCTCTGCATCCCCATTAACATCAACACCACTAACCCACCAGATCCCCGCCGCAATAACCTTCGCCACAACCTCCACCTCCGCCTCATCCCTCGGCGCATAAACCAGCATGAACTCCCTCGGAACAAACTTCCTACACCACCCACCCCTGGCAAGCGGATGTCTCTCACCCCACCCCATCTCAATCAACAGATTCGCATCCGCAGGATGCAACGTCATATGCATCGATCCATCACTAGGATGCGCATGACAAATCTCACCCCCACAAGTCCTCGTAATCGGCACACTGGTAAACAACCCCGAACTATGCTTCTCAAAGCAACTCGTACGTTCCAACAACCTATTCTCCGGATCCGCCGCAAGACCCTTAATCTTGGCTACTAAGCACGCATAAACCGCCGGCCCGCTCTTCTGCGTCTGCTGTCTCTGCGGCGCAATACCGCGGATGAGCGGTTTCGTGCCTTTGCGAGCGGGTAGCGAGGCAGGCGTGAAGTAGCCTTTTTGCGGACGGAAGTGTGGGGGGATGGCGATGGGGCGGAGGGGGTCGCGCAGGCAGATTAGAGAGAGGAGTTTGATTTTTAGGTAGCCGAGGGGGGTTGCTGGGGTGCCGCCGGGGCCGAGGGAGAGGAAGGCGCGGTAGTCTTTGTGGATGTAGAGGGCTGTTAGGGTGGGGAGGAGGAGGGCGAGCGTGGCGATGAGCATGTGGAGGTGGGTTTCTGTGAACATGCTTGGGTGGGGTGGTGGTATGGTTGGTTCGTAGGATGGGTGTAGGGTTGTGGTGGTGAGGTTGTGGGGGTCGACCATGTTGTATGTCCAGGTGCAGGTGATGTTTTTGGATGGTTGTCCTTGAGTAATTGAAGACGTGGAAATTGAACAAAGAAAGCAGGAAGTTGTTTGCTGACAGTCCTCTTATGACTTCCTTCGCAACTAGACAAGAGGAACAAGAACCGCGGAAGGTACAATAGCTCCGTGGCCCCAGTAAAGAAAGGAAGATCAGCCCCACACGTGCACTGCAGGAAGGAAGGTCGGTGAGTACCACGCGAGACTCAGGGTCCGCGGGACCTAAGAAGGGATGACGTTGAATTGATACAACAAACAAAGCTACCACTCAGATACCAAACAAAAGCCTCGATACCGTAGGAATCCAGAAGCAGAAGCCTAAAAGCCCCAAGTACCAACTCACCTCCCCACCACAAGCACACGCGACCCCTTCTTATAATCCCTCAGAAACGCCAGCAAACCAACGCAGCAACCATAGCGACCGACCGACCGCCCGACGTCAACCCCGTGGTCCCCCAAAACATAATCCACGTGCCTAGCCCCGCATCCGGTTAGCACGGCCCTCACCTGCATGTTTGTGGGGTTAGCGGCCGGCCGCGCTAGCAAGCCCATTGGCCCACATCACGGTGCCTGTGACGTTTGACCTAAATCAACAATGCTGGCCGTTCGCTTCCCATTCTCTCTGTTTATCCACCTGCTGCGAGTTACCTTCGTCATTCTGTCGTGGGTGCGTTTATGAGAAGATGGTCTGGGCGCTTTGAAGGTTTGCATCGCCGATGTGCGGGAGCAAGGGTGAGGGAATTGGGGGTTGTACGAAAGGGAGCGGGCATGATGCTGGTGAGGGGGATGCTGAGATCAGCTGTGCTCACGTGGTCTTGTGCACGGTTGTTCTTCTAGAAGAGGGGTTTTTGGGAAGCTGACTTCTCGTGTTCAGCCTCTTTCTTACGTATGCCGCTGTCTTGGAGTATGTGCTTGTTCGCTCGTCGCGGCATGAATTGGCGAGGTACGCTGGCACGCTTTGACCATCAGCTGGGTGTTCTGATCACCAATGGACGAACCGGAAGCTTGCCAGATGGTCATCAGGCGCGGGACTAGCGTAGTGGTATCAATACCCGCTAGTTCACGATAGCTGGTGTCGGCGTTGTTCGATAAGTACCCTGCAGCGTGCAGCATGCAGTGTGATCGGAGGAGCGGTGATGCGTGGCGCACTGTGAGCTCTTTGCATTATCGCCGAGCTCGGAACTTGGGTTCGAGAACATGGTTGTGAGTACACGGTCGTGCGTTTTTAGATTGAGGTAAACGGTTTGTTCATGGGTATGCGTGCTTGCAGCTATGTATTCCACAGTTGGGAAAGCATTTCAGTCGCCTCTCGATTGCATTGATACTCATAGCGCATCGGTACAAGCGATGCAAGAGCGATACGAGAGAAGAGAAGAGTGATCTAGAATCGAGACTTTCGAAATGGTAGAGCTGCTGGCTAATTGCGAAGATGGGTAGGCGATGGGCTAGGACCGCACAACGACGAAGGCTCTGCAGATTCCCGCGCGTTCCAGCGCATCACGCCGCAGTCGTGGATCAGTCTTCCCACGTAATCCGCACCTCAAGGAGCTTGTAGTTTGCGGGGAATCCAAGTTCAGTAAGACCATTACCCACATGTTCCTGCCGTCTGGGCCGCAAACGACTGTTCCATGATACCTCCTGAGCTCGACGTTTTCCAGTAATATTGACGAATACTGCCTCTTGCATGTTGGCCTCTCTCTGTTTTTCATCTGGCATGAACATCTCAAGCTCGACGGAGACCACTCTTTCGGCTTGGCGCGCGTCCATGTTCTTCAGGACCGACACTGCAGATTTTATCTCATGCATCATGTCAGACGTGAGAAAAAAACTCCTGTAGCCCCCTGGGCAGAAATTCATTATGAATGAAGGAAATTCTTTCTGGACTTGGACCAATTGAAGAAGGTCGATTTTCCGCTCTTCGCCGGTTCCGAATTTTGAGAGGCGTATGATGATGTAACGGTTGATCGTTCGTAGACTCTCGTATGGGCGCTTGATAAAGAAGACGTGCAGGTAATTGTTCAGTTGTCGGAAAGGGACGACGGGACTGTATAGCCGCAGCCTGATGGACGGAGACAGGTACATAGGCGCGAACTCGTCGTGGACTTGCTCATGAGAATTGACAAGGTTTATGGCGTCAGCACATTTTGGTGTTAGATGGAGGAATTCGGTGTAGATGGCGTTGCGTAGCTCTATATTCAGGACCTGAAATCAGCCCTGGGCAGGTAAATCGTGGGGTTTGGAGACCTCGTACCTCCGGGTAGGTCAAGGAAATTCGCTCTGTGGCGGTAGTGTGCGCTGCTTCGAAACTTAGTTTCCATCGACTGGCACTGCAGTGTCACACGACTCTTTTGACATACTTGAGCGCCATGCTGTTGTCGCAACGAGAAATAGAGTGCGTCTTTGACTCAGACTGAGGCGAGATCTTGACTCGGGCAATACTATCGAGGCGAAAGCGCACTCACTCTTCCAAAGAGGCTTGACTTTGATGTTCGGCGATTCGATGTCGTCGAATAGGTGTCGTAAACAGGACAGACTCGCACCTCAGTCCAAGATGCGGCCTCCCGCCAAGACCTCGCTAAACCCAAGGCATCGACGTCCGGGCCGGCGTTAAGCTGCGGGCTGATTTCTCACATCCTCAAGCTCATCACATGAATCTGAACAGTCATTATTCGTACATTTCTCTCAAATCTTCCTTGCACTGTTCCTCTTGTACCCCACTTCCACGATAGTGAGATCCTATTCGTCTTCCTCACTCCCGGAGACATTGTATTCGCTTTCTGGCTCATGCGCTATATGAAAACGCACTTTGATGCCTCCGCATTCAACATCAAGCCCAACGTCTTCGAAGTCTTGTTCCGTACAGTTCGCCATCAGAGCGATGTCAAGATAGGCTACTAGACCGGCACTGAACCTCTCATCTAAAGGTGGCCTGACAGATAAAGACAGATCAATAGCAGCCAACTTCGCGTACAGCTCATCCTCCAGGTTTCTGAGTATTGACAGGGGTGCGTCGATGTCTATGTCGTCAACACTGAAAGTGACTCGAGCGGAATGAGGCGGAATTGCTATCTCTTCTTCCTCAGAGTCTGCTTCCTCCGATTCTGACTCCTCAGGTTGTGATTCCTCAGATCCTGCCTCATCAGGTTCGTCTTGGTCTTGGTCGTCGTCTTCGTCGTCGATTTCGGTTCCTGCTTCTTCTTCTTCAGGTACGTCGGAGCGGTCGCCGCGGCCGGAGTGGGCAGGGCGGTTGGAGTGATTAGAGTAACTACAGCGGTTGAAAGGGTTCAGGTCCCACTCAATGTTGAGTAAAGGATATCCACGCATGAATGCGACAGTTTCAAAGAGATCGAGGTCCCAGAAGCTCCTGTGCCAACAGATATCATTCCAGTCGAGCTTTACACGGAAGCTGCAAGTGAAGTCCTTTGGTCTCTGGCTAGCGATAGGCTGGAAGGTGTCTCGCAGGAAGGGCATGAGGCAGTCAAGAGGTACTATAGCGTTGCCCTGGCTCAGATATAGTGACCCAAATTCGGAGCGAATCTGCCGATTGACTTGGAGGAACTGGATACTCTGGTCGAGAGATGGCTCGAGGTCGAGGAGGTACTTGTAGACGGTATTGCGCAGTTCTATAATGAGACGGGTTAGTTGGTCGTATTTAAATAAACCAGTTCATGGACCACATACCACCAGACAACCTGTCGAGGAACGGCGCTCCGCCACTATGGTCCCTGCCACCATCATCGTCAGTTTGTTCTTTCATCAAGCAAAATGTTTGACTGCAGCATACTGGGTTGTCATCATGGTGCTGTGCAGTGGTAGCTTGTATTCTCCACCTGAGCGTAGTGGAAGATAGCTTCGTAGGTGGACTGAAAAGCTCTAGGAGCAAACGAGATTGTTCTGGACGACAGGTCGTTTTGTCTCAGCGTCCGCCAAGATCTGCTGTGCAACGTAGACCGCGCTAGACACAAACGACCAGGCAGGCAGCTTCTTGGGCTCATAACAGTTCCTGATCTCTCGCATCTTCAGGTTATTCATTGCTCGCACAATTTCTCAGATATCCAATCTCATTCCATGCGATGTACATTCAAATTGCTGTCCTATTGCAACCCTACGCGTCTACTAGCGGAACTCATTGTCCGAAACATCGTTTTCGCTTCGTGTCATGTCTGCTATATCACTTCCACGGTGATACCTCCACACTCGCCCTTGAGCCCTCCAAGCTTGAATTGAATATGGGCATAATCTTGTTCGGTACAGCGATCCTCCAATTCAAAGTCCAGGCTCATGCCATAAGGCCTATCTCGCACAATAAGGTCACCGGACGTTAACAGCTCGAACTCCTGATCTTCCATACTTCTCATAATAGACACGGGCCGAGCCACATCAAAGTGATCGAACCAAGGAGGCCAGCAAAAGGGTGGCATGGCCCACACGATGTCAACCAATGGATATTGGCGCATGATCGAGACGACTTCAACCAGGTCGAGCACCCAACTGTCCCATGGAGTGTCACAGTAGCAGAGCTCTACGGTGACCTTGTAAGCAACGTCCTTCGTAAAGAGGTTTGCTGGGGGAAGGACGAAGAGGCGTAGAAAGTCGGCGAGGTGGTAGAAAGAGACTGTGGTATTGTCTTGACTCAAGTATAACGATCCGAACTCGGCGCGAATTTGCTGATTAATCCAGAGTAGATTTGGGGCATTGGCGCAACATGGCCATGGTTTGAGGTCGATGAAGTGCTCGTAGATGGTGTTACGCAGTTCTGTCATCTCTCGTGTTAGTTTGCGTCGTTAGAACAGGCGGATGTTGGAGAAATTACCTCCAGGCAGGTCAAGGAACGACTTTCCGCCGCGGTAACGTTCTCTGTCGCTTCTTTCATTAGTGTGGGCTCGTGCAGGATGATCTTTTGGCACAACTTACTTGATTTCCATCGCGACAGTATCAGATAGTAAATAGATTGATAGACAAAACTCGGCGGAGCAAGCGAATGCGAGTGATGGTTAGTGAATGTTGTGAGCCAGGGAAGTAAGTTGATATAGACAGCGAGGCGTACCTACGCTCCTGCCAAGACTGCGCTAAGCAAATCAAGTGAGAGAAAAGATGTGGGTACTCGAAGGGATTGCGCACCGAGTCAGGACCGTTGATCAGATTTGACTTTACCAGATTATGCAATTTGTACGTTGGTGGTCATCAGGGTTGAAAACTATGGTCGAAGTCACTGCGTCTATTGCAGGCGAAGTTGGCGTACGCGCTATCGCATTTGCACAAGAGAATACCAGCGACGGCAAGGACAATTCGTTCCATATTTCACAACTTGTGATCTAAGCGTTTGCATCTTGATAAGCAGACCAAAATCAGCTCATAGACTAGAACTGCTGCCAGATCCCCGTATGTTCAACTTCATCGAAAGAATCGAGCTCGTCGTCATCCAAATCTGCTCATACATCTGCGAATAAACCCTCTCAAAATATGATCAAGTCTCCTAAGTCTGGAAGGACCTGATCTTCGCCCTCTGAGTCTTCATGACCGTCAACTAGATCGTCTTCCTCGCCATCTGAACTCTGTTCATCACTGTCCATACTGTTCTCCGACCCAAATCCTACATTGATGCCTCCGCAATTGGTATCGATATCCTCAAAACAAAATTCTGTCACGCCATTTTTCAACTCGATCCAAAGCCTAGCGTCCAAGGCGAGGGTAGTGCCGACCTGGAATGGCTGGAAGCTGTGCAATTCCCTAGGCGACTCAGATAAAGTGAGTCTGACGGAAGACAGCTGGTTATAATGTTGGGCATCCAGACATCTCAGATTGGTAACGGCGTAGGCAATGTCTTTGTCATCGAACGAGACAGCGGAGTAGCGACCCATACCCGCGCCCAGGTCCCAGACCACTTCGATCAAAGGGTATTCGCGCATGACCGACACGACCTTGAGCAGATCCAGTGACCAGCATGGAGAAGCATCAAGATCAATGCTTTTGGGCGTTGGACTTCCGAGTCCCACGTTGAACTTGTAGAGTACATTCTTAGGAACCGCGTCAGGGTACTGAGCGAAGAAGAAGTGTAGAAAGAACGGAACATGCTCGAATGGAACCCCGGTTGCGCCTTGGTAGAACCGGCTCAAATACAGCGTCGTGAACTCAGCGTGGACTTGCTGATTGACGCAGGCTAGGTTGGCAGCATCGCTGGTTGATGGCCAGAGATCGATGAAGTGGTGGTAGAAGGTGTTGCGCAGCTCTATTCTTGTGTTAGTAATACATTCAGAGATTTCAAAATATCCAATACTCACCTCCAGGTGCGTCGAGGAAGCTCTTTCTGCCGCAAGGCCTGCCGACGCTGTACCTAGATGGCCGTCAGCACATGCTCATCGAGGGAAGCTTTTGTGCAACGCTTACTGGCTTGTCATTGTGATGTCGCGCGACGATAGCACGGGCTAGACTCAACAGAAGAAGCGGTTGTAGTAGATGAGTCGAGGGTAGGAAGGAAGAGCTGTTGTGTGCGAAGGAGCGTTCGTTTCCACCGCCGCCAAGGTCGCGCTAACAATTGCACGGTGAGCGAGGAAAAGTGTGAACCCTGCATCGAGAACAAGGGCTAGCTAGTGCACGGTAGGACTGCCTCAATAACACGATGCACATTCCAAATTATTTTCTCGTACTTTCAAAGCTGGTCATGCAGGTTAATTTCCTTTCATGGCATGTAGACTTATCTTAAAACTAGATTGGTACCATCTTAGTGCGCCACGATTCATCTTCTCATGCCCCCGTCTCAACTAAGTAGTCACCTTATTCCCTAGCCACTACTTTCTACAGCGTCTTCGCAGGTTTCTTGAGTGTCTTCACCGCCATCCTCATCATCATTTCCATCATCTGAAGTCTCTTCCTCATCATCTGAGCCATCTTCGTCACCATCTTTGTCACCATCCTCGTTTTCTGAAGTCTCTGTATCCTCGAATGGAAAATACTCCCAAGTAGAACGCACATTGATAAATCCGTCTAAGTGGTCGAGTCCCAGCCCATGGAATTCTTCTTCTGTGGCGAAAGCCTTCATTGTAACGAAAAGGAAAGCGCCTAAGCGTGGTAGAAAGCTCATCGGGTGGTCCAAGGGCAATCCGCACATCTCGAACGCAACAGATCGTACTTTTTCCAACTTCTGAACATCCATATTTTTCAAGACAGAAATAGCCGTGGTAATATCTTTGAACCATGAGATCTTGAGTAGAAGCCCGTAGTTGTGGTGCATTATCGAGACCAATTTGAGTAGATCGATGGACCAGTCTGGCGAGTCGGATGGATTCAACGACAGGTCGAAGCGGAGATGAACATATTGCCGTCTACACTCGAAGCCATGGGGAAAGAAGACGTCCAGGAAGCTGTCGACATGCTCCTCGGGAATCGCGAAGTTCCCTAATGCCAGACATAGCGAGCCAAACTCAGCACGAATCTGCTGGCTAGAATGCGCTAGTGTGGTAGCTTCGCCGACCGTAGGATCGAGTTCAATGAAGTGATTGTAGACGGCATTGCGGAGCTCTGTATGCTGGTGTTAGTCCGCCTTGGTCAAAGGATGCAAATGCTATGTTTACCTCCGGAAAGGTCCAGAAACGACTTTCCGCCACCGTTGTCTCTGCTGCTTCGACTGTTAGCACGCACTCACTGAAAATGCTGGCTGGGGAACATACTTGACTGCCATAGCGGTGTTGCGCGGCAGGGGCTTGTTCGTCTCGGAGCTTTGCCCCACGGATGAAACTGTGTAGGAGGGTCCGGTGAGAACTGTAAAGAAGTGATGTTGTTGTTGACGATGAGGCGTTTGTTGGTGTTCCGCCAAGACCGCGCTAAACCAAAGGAGGGTAGTAAAAGTGAAGGCAAGAGTCAACCCTCTCTCTTGCCATCCTCCGTCCCCATTCATCAAAGCTATTGAAGCTATGTCGTATACCAAAGTACCAGCTTGATGACTAGCTCGAATAAAGATCAGATCGCAATCTAAGTCAAAGGCGCACTTGATCCATCCATTCCATCCCCATTACACGCACAATATCTGATCTCTACTCTCGGGACCATCTTCCCCGTTGTCTGAGACCTTTTCGGCACTATCTGAATCGTCTTCCTCATTACTTGACCAATCATCCTCAGGGTACGACTCCCAGTCTGACCAGCCCCGAAAGCTACCCTCAAATCTAATCTCCACTTCAATACCTCTGCATCTGGTAGGGTATAACAACGACTTGATGCTATCGACATCTTGCTTAGTCGCACCTTTCTTCAGCATACAAGGCATTTCAGCCTCTATTTCGGTCCTACCGAAATGGTTTGGTGGGATAGATTTGTTCAAGTAGAGCATGACGGAATTCAAGTTCCCGAATAGTTGGACATCCATGTCCTTCAGGGCTGACACGGCGTAAACGACCCCTGAATCGTCGAATGTCGCTTCCCTAAAGCTGTCCACCAGATTCCATGCAATGCTGATCAACGGGTGATGACGCATGATCGAGACAACTTTCAGCAAGTCGAGCGACCAATCAGCCTCTAGATAGTCCCCGGCAGCGCCCATTCGAACCTCAAACTGATATGAAACGTCCTTTAGACCTGAGTGGAGACTTTGACCGAAGAATAAGTCGAGGAAGTAGTCGACATCATTGAACACAAGCCGACTTCCGCCGTGGTACACCTGGTGTAGATATAAGGTCATAAACTCAGCATGTATCTGTCTGTGTATGGAGGCCAGATTTAAAGCATGGCCATCCGACCATCCAAATTGAATGAGCCTGCGCCTTTGACTCAAAGTAGAGCCTGGTGGTAGTGAATCCGGCTGGTCCTTAAGATCGTCGATGAAGTGCTGATAGACAGTATTGCGCAACTCTGTGATCCTTCAATTAGCCTGCGAAAGCAATGGAAAACACGGTGTATATTACCTCCAGGTAAGTCGAGAAAGCTTGTTGACGTTCTGCCGCGGGGGTTGGCGACGCTGCCAGCGTTAGTACATGCCCACCAAGAGAGGCTCCTGTGCAGGGCTTACTGTGTTGTCATCGTGATGTCGCGCGACTGCCGCACCTTGCTTGGGCGAGGGTCGATAGTTCAGCCTTTGGTGGAGGGTTAGTTGAGCGCAGGCACAAGGTGACGGTGTGTGCGGGGAGGCGCTTGCTTGTACCTCCGCCAAGACCGCGCTAGGAGGTCGAGCGAAAGTGAACGGAGCACAAGAGCTTGGCGGCCATAGGACGCGAAGGAGCAGAGCAACGATCCCGCGAATTCCAGTTGCACATGTGAAAGTAGTTGATAGAAATATTCCTTACTAAACGTCTCAATACGCGCCCTCCCTCTTCTCATACTCCATTCCCATGACAGTCCCCACCTTCTTCATCCCACTCCAAATCTCCGCATCAATCTCCAACTCCAAGCCCTCAACCTTCGTCGCCCCACCGTCAAGTCCCCAAAGCGAGACACCCAGATAGTTCGTTCCGTTGTAGTTCAAAATACCCTCAGTAACAGGGAACTTAATCTGCGGCCCAACATTGCTAACGTATTTACCATACTGCCAGCCATTAACGTAAAGCTGGACGCGATACGCAGGAACACTCGAGCCACTGCTGCTACTGTTACCAGAAGAAGTGCCGTTGGTGAAAGTAAAGCTAAGCGGGATATCATAGCCAGCTGGCATGTTGAGATCGAATTCCGTGGCGAAGAAACCGATTCCAGGGGCGGAGATGCCGTCGGCGACGGGGCCGGCAGAAACAGTCCATTTAGCGTCGGTGGCAGAGAGAGCGCCGGGGAGGTGCAGACCCTGGCGCTCGACGTAGAGACCGCCTTCGTTGAGGGGGCCGCGCGAAATGTCGCGGTAATCTTCTCCACCCAGGTTACCGGTGAGCTTCCAGCTGATGTCGGAGGCGTCGTGGCCGGATAGCTTGTAGTCTAGGATACCGCGCGGGTTCTTCATTGTCTCGGTTCCGATGGTCCAGTTCTCGTCGAGACCTTGGTTGTCGACTACGACCGTGATGGTGTACTTCTTTCCCTTGGTCAGGTTGGGCATGGTGAATGTAGCGCTTCCGTTTAGGGCTGCGTCGTATCCGCGCCATGAACCGAGGAATTGGTCGCCGATCCAGGCGGATGAGCCGAATGCTGAGCCACCTTGGGTGGTAAGGTTGAAAGTGGTCTCGCTTCCAGATGCCGTGAAGGTACCGCGGAAGAGTAGCGTGCCGGTATGGTAGCCGTAATCGGAGCTGTACAGCGATACGGGGGTATCAAGAGGACGGAGAGAGTTGTACGTCTTCTTCAGGTCGGCAGCAGTCCACTCGCTGTCATCGTATCCGGGTTGGATCTCAGGAAGCGAGTCGACGTACTTCCACTCGAGTTCGCTGAGCTTGGGTAGGCTGACATCTGGCTTGACGAATTCAATGTCGGCGCACAAAGTTCCTTGCTCGGAGGTGGTGAAGTCGATATCCTGGCCGTTGAACGTCATCTTGGACACATCAGATGATGCGCCGCCAAGGACTTCGACAGTTGTGGTAGCGTTAAGGTCACCAGTGAGGGCGAGTGTGTCGCCAGTGACCTTGGCAGTGCGCATCAGGTAGCCTGCCTTGAGGATGACAGGGTTAGACGAGTCGTGGGATGCCTGGTCGACGGCCCAGTAGTTGAAGGCTTCGACGCGGTCGACCATGTAGACGTAGACGGGGCTATCAGCTCCAACCTTCGCCACCTTTCTACCTCCATCAGCCTTGAAGTTCAAGACTGTGACTCCACTGGTAGTCATGCTCTTGACATCGCCTTCGACGACTTCCAGTCCAGTAGCAGCAAGGGCCAATTCGTGAGTCTCTCCAGGTCCACCGTACACGACCAAAACGGTCTTGTCATCATACTTGTGCCAAGTGAAAACCTCAGCAGTAGAGTAGACAAGTGTAGTGCCACCAATGTCGTAGTCGCTGACGTGGATCTTGGAATCGCGCCCGTTCAGCGTCAACGAAGTGCCGTTCATTTGGGGTACAGTAATGTTGCCCAATGCCGACGTTGCAACGTTGAGCTTGTAGGTTGTGGAATCTAGCGAGTTGTACTTGGAATGCCTGACGAAGTAGAATGTCGTCTTCTCGTTGGTGGCGGGAGTAACGCTAAGGTCACTGCTGGTAGTCCACTTGGAAGTCGAGGCATTGCCACGTGCAGCCGTGAGGTACGCAGGGCTGACCTTGAAGAAGTTTGCCTGGAGCTTTAGCTCGGAGTACTTCGCGCGGTCGACTTGACGGTCCTCCTTGATCGGTGCAGCGTAGTCGTAGCTGGTGTAGCCACCTGGGTGACCAAGGTTGCCCCAGTTGGTGCCACCGTAAGTCATGTACAAGTTCAAGATGGTGACACCGAAGCTGTAAAGTTGCTTGTAGAAGACACGGTTGAACTCTGCGCCCACCAGAATGCCGCACTTGTCGAAACCGGGTCCACCCCAAGGGTCAAAACTGCCAGACTGGAACTCAACGATGGAGTAAGGCGTAGTGGGGCTCTGCTGCTCGTGAAGTTGATGCCAGTTTGTTGGGAGATTGCCATCTGGCCATGTGGTTGGGTTGGCACAGTCGAATCCAAGAGGATATCCATCGTGTCCGTAGATGTCAACAGCTGCGGGTTGACCAGGTGCGTTGTTGCCTTTAGCGGAGGCGTCGTTGCTGATCAAAGGCACGATAATACCGGCGTCGCGAATCTGATCTTCGACGTATTGCATGTAGACCGGATCCGGGAAAGGCTTGATAGCCGAAGTGGCTTGTGTGTACTCATTCTCGGGCTGGACGAGGATGATTGGTCCGCCGTTGGTGATTTGCGCAGGCGCAATTGTCGCCAACACATTCTTCATGTAGCTATTCCGCTGTTAGCAAGGCGCCGCTTAGATCCAGCTCAGAGACGTACTTGTCGGTTGCCTCCAAGAAGTCAGGCGCACGCGTTCTCAGCGTGCCATTGACTCTCTGAATCCATCCGGGGAAGCCTCCACCAGATACCTCGGCATTGATGTAAGGGCCTGGTCTAGCGATGAGGTAAATGCCAGCCTCCTGCGCAGCATCGAAGAAGGGCTTCAGATCAAAGACACCCTCTTCGCGGTAAACACCGGGCTTGCCTTCAAGCAGCGCCCAGTCCACGTAGAAGGAAACACCATTGTACCCAAGAGCCTTGATCTTCTGGAAGACATCGGAGTAGAGATCAGGTACCGGCAATCTGTACGGGTGGACCTCGCCAGAGTACAGGAAGATGCGTTCTCCATGTACGAAGAGCGAGTCTTCGTCCCATGTGACCTGCATATTGGTTAGCCATCGTCATTCCGAGGCATTCTATCAACTCCGCAACTTACAATATCTTGCAAAGCCTCTCTCTTATACGGCTTAATCCATTGCTGAGGCGAATACCCCACAGCCCTCGCCGCAGTCTCAACCGCGAAACATCCCAGCGCAACCGCGCCTGCAAGCTTTGAGAAGCTCTTCATATTGACCAAAATACGAAACCAAAGGTCAATTTGCTTGTGGCCCGGTTAGATTCCGCGGGAGGGCAAGCAATATAAAGCTTCCGGAGCTTCAGACGGTATGCACGTAGCCGGACCGGGATCTTTCCTCGTTCCTGTTAAACAATGACAGCATCGTTTCTACGCCGCTCGTGCCATTGCGATCCGAACGCACATACCTCTTTTCCCCAGCGACTTTCCCCAGTCTTGCCCCATGTTGAGCGTGCTAAGACCGCGTGTTGAACCGGATGAGTAGCCGTAGCGATACTAGCACGTCTAGTCGCTTCGCCGCATCCTAGACCATGCGAGAAGACGCAAGTACCGATTCCACCAATATCGCAGCTTGGATGCTTGTTAGTGGAGTCGATGCCCGCATCTCGGTAGAGGCAGGCGGGGAAACATGTCCGATGTGCGCCATGGCCGTTGCCCAGGCGGTGCAGAAGGGCGGCGATCAGTGGGGTTAGCGTGAGGGTTAATGCTTGGTCGTATAGTTGTGGATGCTTGCGGAAGCTTGGGTTGAGGCGTTTCCGCCCTGGATTGGGAAAGGCATCCGCGCTGTGACGACGACGGGCATCGGCGAATTGGCTCGGAATTGTTCTCTCGGAGATGGGTATTTATGGATGACTGAGGTGAGATGGAACAGCATGGGTGATGGGACCTGATGATGATGGAATGTGGGGGAGAATTACCGAGGTACATCGAATTCGGACCTGACGTAACAAGGCCTTGATCACTGCGAAAAGCAAGTGAGCAACTCTAGCGTGCAGCAATACTTGTAATCCCAGAAGGCGCACTGCGCTTGCAATAAGAACAAGCTTGTAGTAAGCGCGACGATGACTTCCACCGCCTCTCCTCCGCCTCTCCTCCGCCTCTCCTCCGCCTCTCCTCCGCCTCTCCCCCGCCTCCCCCACCCATTCAACAGAGGTCATGAGCGTCTGACTATCGCGAAAACGCAAATGCACAAGGCCAACGCGCGTTGGCGGAGGAGACACGCATCTCGAATCTTTGATACGTTCCGTATCAACGAATTACCATGAAGGTCTTGGCTTCATGAAAGCGCCTTCAAGATATGAAGTTGGTCATAGGCTCGGGGTTGTCGCGGTGGATATGGTGGCATGCTCATCGTCAATTGCATTCATCAGGGCACTATCCGTAGAAGAGTACGGGCCAAGAGTACTACCAATCCATTGCCACAGATCCACAAACATGCTATACGATACATGCATCTACATGTGCATCTACATCTGCATAAAGACCGATCGATCCGCCCACGACATCTCCCGTCGCATGCCAACCCAAAATCATCACATAACAAGTAACCCGCCTGTGAAGAAACAAACTCCGCTACATAACATCCTGTCGCCCTTAGAGATCTAAATGGCACCCCGATGCAGCGAACCAAAGCAAGAACCGCAACATGCGCCGAAGGGAGGAATGAAAGAATGTGGATGACAAGAAGCCAGAGACATATGCTAGAAACCAAACATGACGAAGGATATCCTTCGCGACATTGCTCACACGCCACACGCTTCTCCACTCTCAACACAACAGGAACAAGTCAACCGCAACCCCACAGACCTACTGCGGCGGATACGAATACCCAGACTGATAATACCCCGAGTTATCAGGGATAGTCGGAAAGCCATACTGGCCCCAGTTATTGAAGTCTTGAGCACTATCACCAATCATGACATCGCCCGCCCAGCCGTTGGGGAAAGTAGCAGCGCCGCAAATCTCCATGTTCACCTTCTGCTCCTGTAGCTCCTGCGGTCGTGCCTGTGGCCATTGCTGGTAGACGCCGTGAATCGGGACAGATGCGGGGGCTGGCACAGGGGATTGGCGGGGGTCAGACTGCTGGAAGGGACTTCTCAGGGGCTGTTGCTGAGTATTGGCGTATTGATATGCCGAGTAGGGTTGTTGTTGTGGTAAAGTCTGTACTGTGGCGCGCATGTGAGAGTTTTGATCGTAAGAAGGCGTACGGCCCCCGTGCGCGTAGGTTGATGGTTGGGTGACTGGAGGAGGAGCTGGAGGTGTTTGTTGACCGTTGTGGTTGACGGCAGTGAAGCCGGACTGGTTACTGGACTTTTCCTCCGACGCGCCTTGCATCTCATGCTTGACCGAAGCGGCGCTGGTAGGCAAGGTGCGCTCCGCGGAGTCTTCGTCATGCGGCAGTCTCGTATCCGCGAGGTCCTTATCCCTGTCGGGCCATTGTCCGTCGTTGTCGTTAGCGTTCGCAATGTCGCCGAATTGCTTGTGCGTTCTTTCGAAGAGCTGTGCATAGTCTTTCAGCCCACCGCTAGCGACACCATCGCTGGAGTTGCTCTTTGGAGAATCGTCGATCTGGCCGCTCAGTTCTCGGTACTTCTTCTTCTCGCGGCGGTAATATCTTTGCCATTCTGCAAGTTGACTTAGCCACGAGCGGGCCATCTTGAAGCGACTCAGAATGCGTAGTAGGAAGCCGTTTGCGATATCATGGGCTCTAGGGTCTTTACGAGATGAGAGGGCGTCGTCCGGGTCCATGTGAGGAAAGTAGTGGCAGTAGATGGCTGGGGTGGTTAGCAATACCCGACCAAATCACTGTTGGATACTTACTGCCTATTCCAACGGCAAAACAAGAGAAAGCTACCGTTGGCGTTTGTACTAAATTGCTATGAACTTGTGAGTTCTCGATAGTATGAAGTAGTGTTGTGAAGTCGAGGCAGGCTTTCCAACAGTCTTTGGCTTGCTTGATCCAGTAGTCAGGATCAGGGGGTTTCTCATCAATTAGTGGCTCATCCAACGGGCCGCGGGGATACGTCAACGTCCATGGTGATGTGGGCATGTACTCTCTGTACAACCACACAAAACACAATGTGTACATTGCATGTATCGCAACGTATTTGCCGGGCGAGTTGTAGCTACGGTCGTCGTTGTTGTCCGATGTCAGCTGGAGGTGATCAGGAAGGTCGCGCTTCAACTGCTTGAGTTTGTCCTCCAATTTCTTGAAGCCAGTCGTTGCGCACCACGGTGGATTCTTGCCTTCTTGTCTACACGTTGTCAGTCAGATATCGCGGCGGAACGAACGAGGCAAACGGACCTTCTGCCGCGTTTACACGACCATTGTGAGACTTCTCCGAAGATCACAACAACTTTGATGTACCATGTTAGTTCTGCCTCCCCCTCAGCAACTTCCCACCTCCCCCCGTCCAGGGCACTGGCTCGATCTGCTCCGTCGTGGTCATTACGGCGCTCCTCAGCATGTTTGTTCCATCGTTTCCTCCGCGCAGTATACATCGCATCGTCTTCACCCAGAAGCCTTGTCCTTGCTCTTTTTCCAAAATTGAATGCACCATCGCTACAGACAAGTTGAGTTCTTTGGAGTTGATCGGGCGTAAGCATCCTCGGCCGATCCTCCCCCCAACTCAGATAGCAATCCATGAGGACGCAGCTCCAAAAGGTACGCCGCTGAGTCTCGCGAAGTATGAATTGGTCCTTTTCCGAAAGGCCCTTTTCACATTCTTTCAGTGGTGCAGGTAGTCCGCTTTCATCGACATCCAGGTGCGGGTACCCAAGACATATGGCAGCTCTGATAGCAACGCCGATCTTCATCCAGCCCTCAGTACCTTGCAAGTTGGTCCATTCATAATACCCCAACATGAGGAGCGTTTGGATCTTTTCCACATTCGGGGACCCAATGATATCCGTTCCCATCTGCGTGCGAGTCGCTGATGCGTAGAATTCGGCAACCCTGATCGGGTCATTACCCATTTGCGCTACGAGCTTGTCATGGAAACGAGCAGTCTGGGTAAGGAAGGCTAAGAGCAAAGGCGCATACACGCGCGGCGTTGGAGCTTGAGTCGGAGTCTTAATTTCAGATGAGCTGCCAGATGAAGGCGGCGGCCGCACAGAGCTGAGGAAAGTTCGCTTATGCAAGAAGGGGAAGTCGGTAGAGAAATGCTTCTCATAGATGTCAAACAACTCTTCCCAGACCTGGGAAGTAAGCAATGGTGATTGAAGAGCATCTTCAGGCGAGCCCAAGCCTTCTACCGAGCGTTGCGCTGTCGTCGATGTTGGTGCTAGCAACTTGCGTCGCTTCTTGGGCGGGGCCTGGGGGTGTCAGCGCTAGCACGTGATATAGCCCAGGACGTGAACTCAGCCACGAACGTTGATATGCAACACGACTAATGGAGTATTGGGAGACAAAAAAGGATGACTTACATCAAAATCGGCCGTGCTGTCGCGGCGCACAGATCCGGTGCTGCTTGCGACAGCCGCGTGGTCCCAGGTACAGTCGCGGTTGGTATTCGCGCAAGCCTTGCACGTCGTGCCCTGACCGGTGTTTTCGCACTTGGTCTTGCTTCGGCGACATCTGGTACATGCAATCTGCGAGCGCATGCCTCGTTTTGCTGAGGGCTCAGCACTGCCGCCGCTGGCATCAAGGGGCCCGGGGGTCTGCTGCGGAGACGCCTTGACGGTGGATGGAGACAGCTGGGTTAGGGGAGATTGCAGTTGCTGATGCTGTCCGGGAGGAGATGGCGGCCGTTGATGTCGTTGTTGTGGTGGGTAAGCAGGCAGTGCAGTTAGCCGCGGTGCATTCTCTCCGGTCATGGGAAGATGCGCGACGGCGCCCAGCTCAGGCGGTGCGCGAATATTGGCGATGAGTCGAGGGAGTTCTTAGAACGGGGGCGGATGAAGAATGGCGGTGCTGCGAGGCTGCGCGCGTCTTGTTGATCGAGTCTTCGGGTGATGTTGCTGCGATGTGCGGGCCGGAGAGATGGGATGGTTGCCGGAAACGCCAGTCACGGGCTGGGGCCGAAGATTACCAGACGACGACGACAAGATGCAATGCAGGTCGGAGGTCTTGCGCAATCGTCGCGTATTCCAGGGCGGCAGGCAGCACAATCTGCGGTCGCCGGATCGTGTGGTTCCAGCGTTGGGTGCTGGCTGGCGTCTGCCTTCGATGCTGCGGGCACACGGGTATTAACGTTGGACCTTCCCTTCCGACGGGACGAGAGCAACTTGGCGTTGGTCCTTGCAGCGAGTGCTGCCATAGCATACCGTGGTATTTAAGCGATCGCTTCATCCGACAAACTTACCAGTCACCGCGATTTCTCTGCCGGTCTGCCGTCATGAGCTTATGCTTACCCTGACAGCCCACGGCCAGACACCCCAGCGGCCCAGCTGTTGGCCGCCGCGCAGTCGCAGCAGCAACCTCCCACTTCACCAGCGGCCCGGTTAGCACCGCATCTCCATCTATCGCTAATCCCGCCTGGTCCGAGTCTCTCAAACGCCTCCCTCTCTGCTTGCCCCAGCACATGAGCTGTCGCACGCAGAACGGGCGCTGACACGTGGGTGGGCCTGCATGCAGTAGTAAGGTGTCGCGGAGCCTTATGGCGCACGTACAAATACGCCCAGTCGATTGCGTTTGGCTGTCAGCCAGGCGCTTCACCGTCACCTTACTCTAGTCCGTCAGAACCATGCCCATCGTCGCCAGCGCATGTCCCGCATGGTTGTATGCAAGGCTCCGAACGGTGCAACACCTTCACATGATGCGAGCCTCTCGTCTATCTTTTGCCCCATCCAGCTAACTACGCATATCGCTACCTATGATATCGCCAGGCCGTGTTGGCCGGTAGACGTAGCCTCGTTGTCTTACTTCCGCGGGTCTGAAAGCGGCATCAATCTCGATGGCTCGGCCTTAGCATTTGCCTCTGCCCGGCAAATCACCTCGATGCGCTCCAACGACTCTGCGTCTCAACGACGTTGTAGATGAAAGGTGCCAGGGGTTCCCGACTACCCATGGATACGCCGCGCTCGTACGTCAGGCCAAATGGGACATTTCTCCCCTCGCCACGGTTAGCGAACTATGTCGCGCATGCGCATGCGACCAAGTTCAGCCTGACATTGATGAGTGAGATTTTCTGCAAGTGGCCCAATCTGGCTGCTGCACGATCGGTGTAGACCTTGCATCTTATCTGCCCTCGGGCATATTATGTCGCACCCGTTGCGTCTGTCGAAACTGTGGTACATGGAGTCTAAATCAAGTTTTGGTCATTTTATCGCCTATGGCGGGAGGGAGCCAGGAGGTATTTAATGTACTTTGATTGGTCATACAAACATCAGGAAGCTGAATGTAGCTTCCAACCTCCTGTACCTGGTCTGCCTCTGATCCCTGAACGTCATGTCAGGCAACTACAGCCTATCTATCCCCTCCTGATGTATCCTCCGTACGACGCGCTTGGACCACGTCCAATCGTCGCATTTGCCGTGGAAGGGCGATCTTGACGACGTAGGCCCATGAACTTGGCCATCTGGTCTCGAGTCGCCTGGACAGCGGCGGTGACCTTGGACTGCGGTTTACCAGTCTCGACTTTGATGAGCTCTCGAGCAGAGGCTTCATCGACCTTGACCGCGGGCTTTTTCATCTCGACCACTTTGGCCTCCGTCGAAGATGAGACGATAGGAGACGATGCGACGGTAGCCGACTTCTTGGTGAAAGAAGGCATCGTGAACCCAAAGGACGGGACGGCGATGTGTTTGCTGTATTACTGTTGGAATACCATCCCTGCTAAGACAAAGTGAAAGAAACTTACGGCTCGTCCGGAGTCTTCACATCATCTCCAGATGACTTTGATGTCGGCTTGGAGGACCAGCGGGAGTTGCCGAGGCCAGACATCTTATCGAACTATCGCGTGTCAGTAATGCGCGCCGGCTACGTTGTCTCTCGACAGTGAGCATACCTTGGTGTTGTAGTGATGTATTCGGTAATCAATACCGTACTCGTTGTGTCTTCGTAAATGCGACGTCGTTGTAGGTAGTAAGAAGAAAGCAGAAAAGTCAGATCGACGAGATTATATACACCGAGAACCTCCTAGCGTACTCGTCTTCACCTCGAAAGACCGTGAAAACGAGGTGAAGGTATCCACGGTGACGCAGAAATATACTGCGATATCAGAGATATTGACGCGGTGACGCAGGATTTTATAATGTCGAGTGTTTGCTATTGATACGCATGGTACTCTCATGCGCCATCCACCTATCTTATAGTCCTCTCAGCGTGACAGCCCGCACCTACCACTTCTCAACCGCCGGCCTAAGATCAATCTCCCACGTAAAGTTCGTCTTAGGCTGCGTGTGCAACCACCAATAATCGTTCGCAATCTAAGCTCGCGTCAGTAACACTTTCCAAGCGATAGGTCATCACAAGGAGAGAATACTCACAGCATCAGCGCTCAACTTCGCCTCCTTAGGCATATCCTTCAACCACTCCTTCGTCCTCGGAATATCAATCACCCCATCAATAATCGCATGAGCGACGTGAACCTGCACATTAACACTGCATTAGCAAACCATTTCCCCAGGTACAGCCCAAAGAAAGAAGACTGAATACTCACACCCTGCGGTCCAAACTCCCTCGCCAAACTCTGACTCAACGCCCTCAACGCCCACTTCCCCGTCGAGAAACTCGCCATCTGCGCATTACTCTTCACACTCGCCGTCGCCCCCGTAAAGATAAGACTAGGGGGATGTTCCGAACCCTTCTCCACGCCCTTCAACAACAACGGCAAAAAAGTCTGCGAAAACAACACTCCACCCATCCCACTAACACCCAAACTCTTCTCAAAAGTCTCGCTCGGAATCTCCAAAAACGGCTTCCGCATAAACGCACCAGAAGCATTGAAAATCGCCGCCGCAACCCCCACCTCATCACCAAACTCTTTCTTAATCCCGCTCAGGGCGGAAGTGAGGGAGGAAGACGAGGATACATCTGTGGCGATACCGAGGGCGCGGCCGCCGGAGGCATTGATTTCAGAGGCGAGAGAAGAGAAGGATTCGGGGGTGCGGGCGAGGAGCACGACGGGGTAGGTTTGGCTGAATTTGCGGGCGACGGAGGCGCCGGTTCCGGGGCCGACGCCGGCGATTATGGCGATGAGGGTGGATTTTGATGCCATAGCTGTGTGTATTGGGTGTCGAGGTTTAGGAACGGGGTTGAGATGTGTTGCTGGTCGGGTGTGAAGGGGATTAGTAGTCGAGGAGGATGAATGAGATATGTGCCGACAAACGTAACAATGGTCTTATATCTTGCTACAATCCTCGGTACCTTGGTTTTCTGTTTAGTAAACCGACTCGGTATTGGAAATAGGGAATGTTGTGAGGCTGATTGCATAAACAAGCGGAGATAGCTAGAGCGCGAGCACTTGAGGTGCGTCATGATTAATAAGCCACCCCCTCTCTCACATGTCCCCAATTTATACACCATACACATACATACTCACTCGCAGCACCCAAGGGCAAGTCTGATTTAACGTAACTTCGTTGATGCATTACTTTGACTTATGCAGCTCATGTCTTCATCACGAATCCCATGGCAACACCCATCTACGCCCTCCCCGCCCTACCCACCTGAATCATCTCCCCAGTAGGTTTATCGTCGCTCCTGAGAACCGGCCAGCTAGCTCCATCGGCCTTGACTAGCGTCATCTCGAGCTTCGTGCCTAGTATCCTGAACTTGCTCTCTTCCGGCTTGATGGTTGAGAAGAGGGGGAATTCGGTCTGGTAGCGCTTGCTGTCCGAGGTGGGGAGATCGAGCTTGACGTGTGTGGGATGGAAGTCGATGACGGCGGTTGCTTTGTCGATTTTCTTGAGGTAGAGGGATGCGACGACCGAGGTGGCGGTTTGGTAGTAGTCGTGTCTGGGGGTGGGGTTAGTAGGTCGTCTTGATTGAGAGGGTAGGGTGAACGTACCGAACTGTCTCTAGTTTCTCCTCGCCCTCCTTCTTCTTGCCGCTGCCGATGAACAAATGTCGGTCTTTTGTCTTGCACCCCTCGATCTTCATGAACTGATCAAACTCCATGACCCGCCTCTTACAGCAACTCCACCCCTTGCTGCCCTCGTGGAAGATGGGCGCACCAGGGTGGTGTATGCAGCTCTCTCCTTCCCTATCGCCTCCCTTGTGTGTCGCGCCGCATCCTTTCCTCCGACATGTCATGCCCTCCTTGATCTCTAGACTCGGGTCGTCGTCTTCGGATTCTGGCGGCGGCGCCGGTGAAGCGCTGGGCTTGGGCGTGGCTTGTGCGGTGGGTAATCGGGGGGCAGGCGCAGGGAGGGATTCCTCGAGCGATCCGAGGTTGACTTGGGTGTCATTGGGTACGTCGGGGGCTTTGACGGGCTCGGGCTTGGGTGTGTCGTCGACGTCCGAGTGCTTGCCCTTTGTGCACGGCTCGATTGCGAGGAACTCGTCAAAGGTCAAGACGCGTGGTTTGCAGCATTCCCAGCCTGGGGAATCCAATTAGCATCTTTTCTGGTCTTGTTGGTATACGCGTTGGTGGTGCTGACCTACCTTTCTGCCCCTCATGGAATTTGGGTGGGCCGGGATGGTAAACACACTCCTCGTTCTCGTCCTCGTACGTCTTGCCGCAGCCCTTGTGAACACACTTCTTCGCCATAATTGTCGGTTTCTGTGAACAACGCGCTTAACGAGCGGAGAGAAAGGTCGGATGCGCGCTGCTTGTCGTGTTGCGATGCCCCAGATTTTGTTCCGAACATTCTGGAAATCAGCCGTCATCATAGGGTCCAAGCGCGAAGCTTAATCGATATCCTGGCCGTTGAAGCTTTCCATCTTCGGAATTTCCGTCGCGTCAGCCCAAAGCTCTCCGTTCGAATTGCACGCTCGTAGTCATCGGTACTGAGAGAGTGTGTGGGTTGTCAACACGTCGCCAACATGTTCCGCGCCACATCCCGCCTGCTCGCTTGCCGCGTCACCTTCTTCACCCGAACCCCATGCGGCCTATGCGACACGGCTAAAGCTGTCGTGCAGAACGTCAAGGCGAAGAGGCCGTTCGATTACGAGGAGATCAATGTCATGGACGCAGGGCAAGAAAAGTGGAAGAGCGCGTACGAATTTGATACCCCGGTGGTAAGCCGACCCGGACCACGGGTCTATATATGCGTGTAATGCACAGAGTACCTGAATGTTCAACCAGATCCACATCGACAAAGCCGAAGCTAAGGAGACGACCATATCGTCGATGAAACTTATGCATCGGTTCAACGAAGAAGACGTGACCAAGGCCATGGATCAGGTAGAGCAATCTTGAAAGCACCGTCACGTCGTCTGCCTAAGTCAAATTCCATTTCACGTCTACGTTCTGGATCATTCGATCTGTCGCAGTGATATCTCTCATGCGATGAAGTAGAGTAATACTTCAACGCGACCCATGGTCCTTCCTACGCTTGACACCTTCATCCTATCCATGCTCCGCTACCGAACGTCATCATCTGTGCATCCCCCTTCAACTACGCGAATCCGTGGTCGTAGCTACGGTAAGTATGTCGGCCAAAGTAGTCTTCGGGTCGCGGAAGACGTCGGCTTCGAGGAAGTCCCTTGCAATTTGCTCCTACCACATTGTCAGCTGGTTTTATGACGCGCATGCCTTCACATACCGCTTCTTCGAGCTCTGCGGCTTCGTCCTCCGGCATCTGACAGCACGCAGCTACGAGGTCTTCGCCGCGAACAGAGAGGAGAATGAGGTTCTCCGCACGTTGTATGATTTCCGGAGGGACGCCGTTCATGGCGGCACAGCTATGGTACTGTTAACAAAGGTAGATTGCGCTGAAGTTATCGACATACCACGTGCCGAAGCTTGAGGTGCTTCGACCTTCGCGAAAGCTAGAGGCCGTTAGCATACCCTGCCTCTTGCTGTCATGGTATACTTACTTGTAGAGATATGTTATCTGATCATTGACTTCCGCAGCATCAGCATCGATGCGTACTTCCATATGCCCAAATGCAAGAGCGGGTCTCGGCCTAAGCAGGTTCATTTCGAAGATCTCTGGTACCTCTTAGCAGCTGACGAATTAATGATCGATATCCACGCACCATGGAAATGCGTAGCACCAATGACCTTCGGTCGCTCAGACCCCAGACTCAGCAGGTACTCCATGACTGCGCATGCCAGGCCAGCGCCATCACTAGACTCAGTTCCCTTGCCAAACTCATCAATGATGAGTAAGCTGCGGCGCGTCGCCAAGCTCAGTGCGAGGGATATCTGCTGCAGATCTATCATGAAAGCACTCTGGACACGAGACACTGTCTCGCGCGTCGTGACTCTGGAAAGGATCTTGTCCGTCAGCCCAATCTTTGCGCTATCTGCCGGGACAAAGCATCCAACATGGGCCATGTATACGATGAGCGCGACCTGCTTCAGGTACACGCTTTTGCCTGAGTAGTTGGGCCCAGTCAAGACAAGCATGCTTGCGCTATCTTTATGCGCATAGGTATGGCGACTTGCAGAGCTCGTAATCGGTTGGGTACCGGTACCATAGCTTTCATCGACGTCTTCCTCAGAGGCTCCATTGCCCTCCCCGCCTCTAAGAGTCGTATCGTTCGCGACGAAGGATGATACTGTGAGTTCTTGGAGGATATGGCTAGATTGACGTCAGTGGCTGCATGCCGCCTCCACGATCAGTACACTCACCGGCCTCCCTTGATACGTATGACATTGTCGTGGGTCATCCGAGGGCGACAAAGCTTGTAGATCTTCGCGCCTTGTGCTAATGCAAGAAGGCTGTCAAGCTCTCCGCATACGTCCGAACAAGATGTCAGCAGCTCTTCATATTGCAGCAGATACTGTGCGAGCTCATGACTGATCTCAATCTCGCGATCCGAGATGATACCGTACACGTCACCGAAGTGATCATCCATCTCTCGGGTTTCGCTGTTTTTGAAGTAGACCTGCTCTTCAGTGGCGAACATCCTCTCCCAAGGACTGTCGAAGGTGCCTTGATATACGGCGTCTCCACTCAGTTCATTGACAGGAGTGGTGCAGAGAAATCCGATTTGTGGGAAGTAGATTACGTTAAGAGTGGCGCCTAATCTTGTCAGCTTTCGATTTGGTGTAACCGCTAGGTAGCAGAAAATGGTATAGATAGGGCCAGTGTGACGTACGAATGTCAGAGGGCATCTTCTCAGACAGCTTCCGCGCTACCCGGTTGAGAAAGTCGTCAAGACTGTCTAGAGTCCTTTTCATCTGATCCAGCTCGTCGTCAACACCTGGCATGATGACAGTCCGGCCTTCTTCTGCCGAACTAGCCAAGTCAATGGTCTCACTGATCTTCCTTCCGATCTGGGCCAGGTGGTAGCCTTCAAATTTCTCGAACACCTGCAAATGTCAGTCGCAATATCAGGAACCGCAGCAGGCTATTTGTGCGGCCTCGCGGTGATTGACAGGCTGGCGGTTAGAAGTACCTTGTTCCTGATAGCCAAGGTCTCGCCGCCTAGGACATCCTGCAATGTGTCTTTGATCTTGAGGGCATGGAATGCAAACTATCACGATCAGTCGAATGACTTCCAGCGGTGACTTGCGAAACATACCGCTCTGATAGATGTCCATATGCTCTTGGAAAAGCCTCCGCCTGCTTTCGTTGAGCCACCTACACCCTTTCTCAGGTTGACCATCATAGCGCGCATGTTGCTGATGTTCTTGAGATTCTGTACAAGCGCCTGTAGAGCGGGATCGTTGTCTGGGCGAACGAAGACCCCTATCGTACTCAGCCTCTCGTGGATGATATCGATGTTGAGACTAGGGCGCAGGAACTGTTGCCGAAGTAGGAACCTTCCTTGTGGTGTTCTAGCGAGATGGTGGAATAGCCCATACACGGAGAGCCCTTCCTTTTCGCCGGAGCTCGCTTTGGTTGGCCCTTTGTTGTGCGAGTGCGGATGCGATTCGGCACCCATGATCTGTAAGGAATGCAGTGTATCTGCGTTGATGAACATGGTTTCTCGAAGACTGAACATCTCCAGTGTTGTGATACGGAACATGAGATAAGCTGACCGATCGCCAGGCAGGTATGCCGCAGCGCGTCGGCGTTGAAGATACGATATAAGTGCTCCGGCGCAGCCGGCCTATGCAGTATTAGCGACATACCTTCCACAGGAAGCGCGAGAATACCG